GTAGATGTTTTGTCAACTTTGCATGTGACTCATGAATTGGGGAAGGTTGGGAGTCCTTTCCCAGACAATTTTGAGCATCAAACACTTAATTTCCTGCATTCTGGAGAATTTTTGCACACCACATTGTGTCTTTTCCTGCACCAAAGTCCTCTGCTATTTCATGTTTTTATCAGAAGGGACTAATGCTCATTTTCTACAAATACTGAGGGGGACGTGTCCCCTGTTTCCCAAAATCTACGCCTATGGAATTATCCAGGATGAGTGAGAACTGCCTCTCAAAAGACATATTGCTGTTGAAGTTTCAATTTTCAGTGCTTTGAGTACCACAGACAAAATGTACTCAGGCAGACATCTTAGAAATATCTCAGAAATTTCAGGGTTCAATATTTCAAGACCTTTCGAGAGTATCTGCATGACTTGATACCGCTGTAGGTAAATGAGAGATTATGTTTTTAATATTTTGGGTGATCAAACTGTTTAGGACCGGTGGTGGAATGTAACTTAGATTTACTCAAGTACTTATCCTCCACTACATTTTGGAAGACAATATTGTACTTTTTACTTCACTAAATGTTTTTGACAGCACAGAGAAAGATGTTGGTTCCTCAGTTGTTCGTATGGGTTGAGTGCTGTACAACACTGCTGCTATTCAAAGAAACTTTTAAGCCCCTGTATGGTTCTCAAGAGGTTCTCTACTGGTTCTTTACCCACTAAACTAAACTAAACTAAACTAAACTAAACTAAACTAAACTAAACGAAGCTGAGGAACCAGTAGAGATCCTTTTTCCCTACTGGTTCTTCAGCTTTGTACAGTTTAGTTTACTGGGATAAGAATAAAAACACTACATTAAAATAGCCTACAAACAGTGTATTTAAGGTTTGTCTCTCAACCTTTTTGTCCACATGTGCACAGAAATATTCCAGGTTTGAAAAGGTTACATGAGCATTTAGAACAGTATTCTGAATATTTTAAGCCAATATTTCATAAAAAAAATGATTAATAATCTTTCATATTTTAAGTAAAAGTGCCATTTAGAAGCATGTTGTCTCATCTATGACATTATCTTGTATCTTTCGAGGGCCACCAGGCACTAGGCAAACAATATAGTGTTTTATGGCACCTCTATATAGCACTACTCGACAAAGGCGTTGTATATCACCTTAAAAAAATGGGTACCATATTGCACCAAAACAATGATTACAATGATTATGAGCATAGTGGGACCTGTTTTGGGTACTATTTAGCACCATTTTTGTTTATAGTGAACTGAGTTACTAGCTACTTTGCAAACTCAGATTAAATCAAAATATAAATCAACAAATTAATTATCATATATTTCTATAGATTAAACTATCCAGCAGTATCTAAAGTAAAAAAAAGAGCTCCACCCTTACCAGCTGCAACATTGAAGTGATGAACACACTAATGCATCAATAATAACAAAAATAACCCAATAATATAATATATATTATTTTAAAATGTAACATTCTGCCTCAAGAGTACTTTCACTTTTGGCACTTTATGTATATTTTGATGCCAGCTGTACTTTTACTGAAAAAACTGTGAATGCAGGACTTTTACTTGTAATATTTCTAAGTTTACTTCTAGTATTTCTACAATGTTTTATTGTCACTTGTATTGAAGTAAAAGATGTCTTCCACCACTGTTTGACAAACATGCAAGCCTCAATAACTGCAGTTTATCCATTTTCTTTTTCAGTCTCTTTGCTGCAATCTGCTCAAAACAATGCAGATTTTCCCATTCTCTTTCACTCCCTTTCCCTCTCCCTCTGTTTTTAATGCATGCCCCCCCTCCCACACACACACACACACACACACACACACAAATGCCGTCTCCACCCTTGACCTCGCAGTGAAAAGTTAGTGCACCCGAGGTTGAACTCTCCCAGATCTGCCTCCGCCGCAAACGCTGGGAAAGTGCCCCTGATGTACGCATATGCGTACATGCGAGCGTGTGTTTGCGTGTGAGTGTGGCAACACTTGGGGTGTCATGAATAGGAGAGATTTGACCCTCAACCCCTCTGACCTGTCCACACAAACGACCCCTTTAACCCAGCTCCGCTTTTGTCAGCCATGACTGCCTTGGTTTATTCAGACCGCCCGCCAAAGGAGGCAAAATTCATTATATACCACTTTGCTTATTATTTTCCACCCACGTTTATGTCTTTATGCTTCTGCTCATTTCTTCGCCATTCTTCCCATCGTCCTCATTCTCTTCCTTCTGCTCCCATCACTCCTCTTTCTGCTTTTTTCACAGCCTCTGTCCCATCGACCTCAACTCAAGTGCTTAGTAGACTGAGCAGTGATACTAAATCATTTGCATCCTTAAATTTGCTATTAGTTTAGCCTTTCTCAATTCTCAGCTAAAGATATACCATTGCAAAACTCAAGCCAAGGCCTCGACTTGAGTGCCACAGCATCTCTTGGAAAAATTATCATTTTTTAAATAATTTATTTGTATTTTTCTATTTTTTATTCTTAAAAAAGCATTCCTCTTGTGACATAAGTAGGATCTCCTTGAAGATTAATGTGCATATGTATGTAGAGTATGAGTGTGGACTATTGGATGTGATAGATTTGACATTGTTTCCACACTTTGGATTAGTTTAGTGATATTTGTCTAATCTATCTAACTTAGATTACTGGTTTATGTATGTCATTTGCTATACTGAGGGATTCTGCATGTTATAAAATCATTTTTGACAGCGTTCTCTACAAACTAAGACATTTAAAACCAGCTGCTTATATTCTGTGATGGTGTGGAATCTTGTATTATTTCTTGTCCTAACAACAGCTGTCGACAGAGTTTCTCAATATGGACCCCAAGGACCTCCAGGGGTCACTGGGGAGGTTCAAGGTGGTCCACTGCAGCAAAACCTGCTCTGAACACTGCAGGAGATGCAAGCACATACAACACCGGTGGCTATTTATTTAAGCGAGTAATGGAAGCCATCGCCACGGTCTCATTCCCATCAGTTTCCTTTGCTTTGCAACTGTTGGCCTTATGTGTGACCAGTTTGAAACCTCTGGTGTCTTCTGTGTACAACTTCTGAAACTCTTTTTAGTGATAGATTACGAGATGTATTTGAAATTTTGACGGACCGCTTGGCTAAATACCAGAAACTCTCCAATGTTGGTGTTAAGAACTGCCACAGCTCCTCTTATTCAGTGATCAGTCGGCCTCCCACCTCTGTTTGGACTTCCCTCAGTGAAATGTGAAGAATTCCAATGAATATGAGGTTGGACACCACAGTCTCAAGCCTCCAGTGGAGACTGTTTCAGCCATGAACCCTCCTGTCCATGTGGCATGCATCCCACCAGACTCTGTGTGCTTAAAACACGCAACCACCCAACTCCACCTTCACCAACACAGTTTTACATCCCATAGTGTTTTCCTAAAGTACGTACACCTTATCTCATTATCATCTTTTTGGAGAAAGTTAAAATGACATCACAAGTGTGTGTGTCCCAGGGGTGCAGCACCAAATTCTGGGCCCTATGCATGAGCAGTCACTGTGGGCCCCCATCCTTTCATCCTCTTGATCCATTTCCCTCTCACACACCTTTTGAGTTTTTTTTTTACAGAGTCAGTTTGCTTTCTTTCCCTTTCCTTTCTTTCTCTTTTTTCCTGGAACCCCGTTTCAGTCCCTCACTCTGGTCTTGCCACATTTAGAGATGCACTGTAGTGCAGGGGCAGACTCAACCATTTTGCAACTTGAACAGGTGAGAGGGGCCTCAGACAGCTTTCACATTTTTTTTTTATAATACATTCTGTCTTTATATTGGTTTTGTTTCAGCCAATTTTAATTTAGTTATGGTACTTATTACTTAGAAATGCAAACAAAACCAAACTTTTCATGCCATGCTTTTAAAGTACTCCCTCCTATTTGGGCCGTGGGTAATCAGTCCCACTTTCACCTCCACTACGACGCCCCTGTATGCCCCTTAGAGTGTGTGAGGTAATCAAGACCTCCTCATAGCATCAGATGCAAACAAACAAATACAAAACCTCTTTGTCATTTCTTTGAGATCTCACTATGGCTTCTGACACAGCAGGCCACATACAGTAATTGTGATTAACATAGTGGTGGAAGAAACACTAAAGTGAAACACTACAGTGTAAAAATAGTTACAGGAAAATGTACTTAAAGCATCAAATGACATTATGCAGAATGCTCCCTTTAATGTGTTATGATATCACGGTGTTGCAACTAGTTTCATTTCATTTCATGTCATGTATTTATACAGGAAAGGAATAAAAGGTAACTAGTGTGTGTTACAGTTAAAACTAGCCTGACTCACCCAGTAAAAACTGCAACATAAAACACATTACAATACAATTTGAATGCTTCTTGTGTGGCCTATTTTAATCTGCAACATCACATTTAGCAAATTTATCATTCGTTTTACACGTTGCAAAGATACTAATAATTATTGTTACAAAATAACTGTAACAATAGCATGAAAATACTCACATGTAACCTCAGAAATGTACTTATATGTGCAGTAGTTACATCCCAGCATGAGCCAAAGAAGCAAATCAGAGGCCTCATGTAGTCACTCATCCTGTGTAATGGAGCTTCTCTTGGATCAAATCCTCCCTCTGCTGGTGAGTCTGTGAAACTGCTGCCAGGATAAACAGAAACATTTACTGATGCTTTTTTTTAGACTACAGCCTTATCTAATATATCTAATACAAATTATATTCCATAACAGTGGTCTTAAATGTGCATGCCTAATATATGTAAGCATGTAAACTTATACCTATAGTGCAGATTTAATGTTTAGAATTGATGTGTGCACACACAGTGAGAATGTATTGCTGCAGTTGTATTTGTGTTTTAGGGTGCAAAAACTACACTTATTTATTTGTTTAGAGGTTTGTTTGACTGCTTGTGTCGTAGTTTTGTCAACAGAGATTTACGATGAACCCAAATCTGGCCAAATCACGCCTTCATCGTTTGGATAATGCGCTCAGACTTCTCCTGTGCCATCTCAGGCACAAAGCGGAAGTTGTAATGTAACTATCCGACTCCTTTTGGATTTGCTCTCGGAAAAAGCCAGCCAGTTTGTACATAAAGTAAGAGGGGGAGGAAATTTGGGAAAACCCTTCTGACTTTCTTTTTTTTTTTTTTTTTTCTTGGACTGCTGACGCGTCCACCGGCTAACGTTAGGTGCTAGGTGCTGGAGCACCCTGGACTCAAACCCTCCCAAGCCTCCACCATGTTCCTCCACTTTCTACTTTTAGGGGCCTTTGTTTTCCAGGCTGAATGTTACTTTTCGGAGGAAATGTATCCAGAGGAGTCGAAGATGCAGCCTCCTACGGTGGTTATCGCTATCCTAGCCCGGAACACTGCGCACTCCCTGCCGTACTACCTCGGAGCTCTGGAGAGACTCAACTACCCCAAAGATCGCATCTCTGTGTGGTGGGTTTTTCCTGCATGGACACTGCCAGGCTGTTTGTACACGGCTCTCCTTTTTATCCGAGCCGTTCAAAAGGTCAATGGCATTTAAATGAGTTTGTGAAAGCAGCAGCAGCAGCAGCAGCAGCAGCAGCAGCGTCCTACCCCTCCCCTGCTCCCCTGCTCCCTCAGCCTTTCACAGCCCTGCTGCCTTTCTCTCCGCCGTATTCATTTCCTACTGTGGGCTGCATGACATTTTATTTTCTGGTAGAGTTTGTTGGCACTGATTTGCTTTCTTAGTAGTGATTTAAAGCCTAACACTAATGATTAAAACCCCTAAAACTGATCTGTCCTCAGGGTTTTTAACAGTATACCTCTGTGGGGTACTTAAGTGTACTTTATGTGTCTGTAAGTGACCCTGATCTCATTTAACATCCATTCATCTTGTATATTTAAAGTTAGATTTGATGATCCTGGATCTATTAAACAGATGAGCTGTTGCTGGGTTACCTAACAGTATGAAATATCACATGACATGATCTATGGCCAATAATGATGTAGTAACACCAGTATGTGATGTGTGTTTTGTGTCATGATACTGTAGGTGGTGTGTGCAGGATATTAAAGTACACACGGGAAGAAAATCCTTTGTTACAGTATATGACATTTTATATCACAAAATCAATATGATGATAAAGAACGGTTTCAGAAAACCAACAGAGAAGTTGTGAGTGGATGAAATAACCAGACAAGAGTGTCTGATTTCAGATAATCCAGCATATTACATGCCTGACAAATCAAAATATTTCATGTCATTGATGCAAAAATCATAGAAAAATGGCATACTATACTTGGAGATGCTGTGGTGACCATCTTCTTGTTTAAAGAAAGCTTTCTTGGAAATTGTTGAAATGGTATGAAGGAAAACAGATCCAAATATTCCTCATATTTTAGAGGCATTTCAGTGATTATTGTGGTTATACAATAAGAGCCCAACTGTAGGCTGCCCCACTGAACTGAAAATGTGCAGTAGGACAATACTGATATTGTGATTGTGATACAAGACCAGATATCGTCTTCGATTTTGGGTATCATGATCGCAAGTGTGTTGTCTTTTCCTTGCTGTAAAGGCTGCATTACATTAAAGTGATGTCGTTTTATGAACTTACCAGACTGTTTTAGCTGCTCTGTTATTTGCTTTTACCCACGTAGTCATTATATCTACATCACTGATGATTATTTATCAAAAAATATATTGTGTGAAAGCACCAATTGTCAGCCCTGAAATATTGTAGCAATATTGATATAAAGGTATTTGGTCACACATACAGTGATATTTGATTTTCTTCATATGGCCAAGCTCTACAAGAATGTACTTAAAAATGTACAAGACAAAGAAAAATTGCTGCTCAACCGCAAAGATGAATCAAGTAATGATTTGCGTCTTAAAGATTTGTTGGAATTCATTTTCCCTCCATTAAACCAGCATTTGAAACATATCATCTCCTCAGTCAATGATTTGTCTTACAACCTGTTTTCTCCGCACTCCTCAGGGCAGCCACGGATCACAATACAGATAACACCACGGCCATACTGAAAGAGTGGCTTACTGTCATGCAGAAGTTCTACCATTATGTTGAGTGGAGACCAATGGACCAGCCCACGTAAGTTCACATATATAAATGCATTTGTTCACAGCAGGGATCTGTGTGAGGGAACATCCTGTCCTGACTCTGTAGATCACAGCAAGTCTTACCTGGGACACCTTTGTAGGTGCAATGTCTTCACATCTATCTGTCTATGTGTTACATTATCACACAAAGGAAAGGAGTAAGTCAGTTTATTTAAGCCATATTTTTTATTTAACCAGGATCACAATCAGAGATTCCTTGACGTGTCATTTTGTTGGTTATAAATTAAACTTATCAACTGGAGGTAATCAACTCATTTTCCTTTTGTCCTAAAATTTATTAACACACCTTTATAGCCTGTAGTCTGTCAAAGGGGATCCACTGTGTTGCCTAAAGATAGCTCTCATTTTAACTCTCCATAATGAGGAATGATGCGGCACGCCTCTGCTTGTCCGTACGTGTAACTCTGTGTGGATGTGTGTCTGAGCTGAAGAGACCATTAGTGGAAGTGATTTGTGCATGCTAATTATACAGTCTGACTGCGTATCTGTTTACAGTCACTGAACTCTGTAAACTGTCAGTCAGTTGTATTTTAAAGGGACAGTTCACCCCAAAATCAAAAATAGCCTACATATTTTTTATCTGTAGTGCTGTTTATCAGTCTAGATTGTTTTGGTGTGAGTTGCAGAGTGTTGGAGATATTGGCTGTAGAGGTGTCTGCCTTCTCCTGAATATAATGGAACTAGATGGCACTCAGCTTGTGGTGCTCTAAGCTGCAAAAGCTACATTTGAAAAACTCAACAGCAATGTCTCTTTCCAGAAATCATGACCCGGTTACTCAAGATAATCCACAGATCTTGTTGTGAGCAGTTTCATGTAGGGACTATTTTCTTGCGCAGAAGGAAGAGTGCATCTACTCATAGACAAATGGCTCAATGTTAATGGTGTCCTCCACAGTTGAGCTGTAACTTTAGCTAGCTCAGTGGTGCTAGGTGAGCAAGCAGTAGATGCATGCTTCCTTCTTCATGGTGATTCAGTTGCCAGGTGTAGTTTGGAAGAAAAAAAAGTTTCTACCAATAGTTTTCTAGCAAACTTCACCCACCAACCGTATCACCACAAAGAAGGAAGTGTGCATCTACTGCTAGCTCACGTAGCACCACTGAGCCAGCTAGAATTACAGCTCAATTGATGAGGACGCCATTAATGTTTACATCTTGCGCTGTCATGAGGCTACCGTCTATGAGTAGATGAACGTTTCCTTCTGCGCAAGAAAATAGTCTTAAACTTACATGAAACTGCTCACAACAAGGTCTGTGGATTATCTTGAGTCACTGGGTCATGGTTTTTCTTAACAGACATTGCTGTTGAGTTTTTCATATGTAGTTTTTTGGTGCTCTGAGCACCACAAGCTCAGTGCCATTTAGTTCCATTATATTCAAGAGACAGGAGACATCTCTACGGCTGATATCTCCAACGCTCGGCAACTCAAGCCAAAACAAACTAGACTGATAAACAGCACTACATGTAAGAGGACGAATATGTATTTTATATTTTGGGGTGAACTGTCCCTTTAAGCTGTGTTTAGCCATATAAAATGTTATGTAAATTTTGAGATTTGAGAAAATAGGAAATCAGTACAACATACTATAATGTCGTCATCATTTCTCTCTGTCTCAGGTCCTATGCAGGAGAGTTGGGTCCTAAGCACTGGCCTAACAGCAGATATGAGTATGTGATGAAGCTGAAGCAGGCGGCGCTCAACTTTGCCAGGAAACGCTGGGCCGATTACATCCTGGTACGTGATAAGATAATCTTTCTTGTGACAGCAGTGTAAGACTCATATCAGCACCGTCCCTTGATTTATCTGATGAGATTTGCTCCCCTCTCTGGTGCCGTTAATTCATCCAAGACAAAGTTTTGGCAATGATTGTTCCGGAGACACGACGCTACAGTCACTCTCCTGTTTTTTCTCTTTGTCTCCTCTGTGTCTCTGTTTCAGTACGCTGACAGTGACAATATCCTCACCAACCCAGACACACTCAACCTGATGATAGCAGAGAACAAGTCAGTCATCGCTCCCATGTTAGACTCTCAGGGAGCGTACTCCAACTACTGGTGCGGCATCACTCCACAGGTGAGTGTGAGCTTGATGGTAATCGTAAACTTGGATATACATTTATTTCTGTATTTGCACTTATTTTGTCCTGACATTCTTCCTGTATATCCTAATCCATCTCTCTCAGGGCTATTATCGTCGAACGGCAGAGTATTTCCCCACCCGTCACCGTCACAGAACAGGCTGCTTCCCTGTGCCCATGGTCCACTCCACTATTCTGCTGGATTTAAGGAAGGAAGGCATGAAGAAACTGGCCTTCTACCCTCCTCACGAAGACTACTCGTGGCCCTATGATGACATCATTGTGTTTGCCTTCTCCTGCCGGGCTGCAGGTTGGTTAGCACTCATTTGGAGCTGTGTTTTTGTAATCATATCCTCTTAAAAAAGCAAAATAATATATGAACAAAACACACTTTACTGTAGAACAATGTCTTTCACACAATGAAGACGTGATTGATTTATTCATTTACTGATTCATTCATCTGTGTTGCATCCCAGAGGTACAAATGTACCTGTGTAACAAGGAGCGCTACGGCTACCTGAATGTCCCGGCCAAACCTCACCACACATTGGAAGATGATCGCCTCAACTTTGTCCACGTCCACCTTGAGTCCCTGAGTAAGAACAGACTGTATTCACTTTTAATATTAATAAAGCTGAGAATTATAGATCATTGTCTGACTGTATTAACCATGTCCGGGCCTTTGTTATATTAAATTATGTCCTTCTCTTCTAACTCCTGTTTCCTCTTTTCCAAACAGTTGATGGTCCTCCGATGCACCCCTCACGATTTGTCCATATGTTCCCCAAACAGAGAGACCTCATGGGCTTCGATGAGGTGAGAGACACCCCATTGTTTTTCTTCTTGTAGGGAAGTAGCCATGTTTCAAGAACGCATTCTCAAATTTTAAATCTAAAATGATCATGACAAAACCAAGAATTCAGAGGTGAATAACCATGTGTCCTCCTCTCCTCAGATATTTCTGATCAATCTGCGACGGCGTGTTGACCGTAGAGACCGGATGTTGTTTTCTTTCAATGAGCTGGAGATTGACGTCAAGGTGGTGGATGCTGTGGATGGAAAGTGAGTACGCTAGTCAGGGAAAGACTGAATATAGCGAGATCACTCAGCTGGCTTAGATACAAAGTATTTGGAGTGTGTCTATGAAAAAGTGAGAAAAATCAATACTGAAATAAAAGATAAAACAATTGTTCATTCAGCTTATGATTTATTTCTGACCATATTTTGGGAAAAATCTCAATAAAGACGTTCCTGACTGAGTAAAATCTGTTTTCAGTAAACTGTATACTGCACATGTGCTAGTGTTAAAGGAAAATGTGCATTGAGATCATCTGTGGAGATTGGTTAATATAATAACACCTGTGTGTGTGTGTGTGTGTGTGTGTGTGTGTGTAGTGCACTGAACAGCAGTGACATCAAGATCCTGGGTGTCGACCTGCTGCCAGGCTACTACGACCCGTTCTCTGGACGCACACTAACCAAAGGAGAGGTGGGCTGCTTCCTCAGCCACTTCTTCATCTGGAAGGAGGTGAGAAGACACACACATTACATGTGAAAGGCTTTATTGGTATGACTGGGAGTGGTTTGCTGAGAACAAAGAGTCAATATAGTGAAGAGGAAACCCATCTGATGGCATTTTCTGTAAACCTAGTATCAAATCTGTTAAAAAAATCAATTTTAAGAATGAAATTCAAAGAAGTAAACTCCATTTTTGCCATATAGGTAACATATTTTCCCTTTCGCTAAATCACTGCTCACATGTTTTGTAATTTTGTCTTTGCTACTACAGTAAAAGATGAGGAGAGAAAGATTTGATATTAAAAGTTTAATATTGGGGTGCTACTAACTTGGAAATGGGCTCAAAATAGAACAAGCGATCAAAACACAAGCCTACTGGGTATCAGGGCTACAATTGACAATTATTTTCATTATCGACTAATCTGCTGATTATTATTACAACTCACTAATGAATCAATTAATCATTTAGTCCACAAAATGTTAAAAAAAAGTGGAAAATGCTCATCACAATTTCCCAGAACTCAAAGTAACATCTTCAGTTCGCTTCTATTGTCCATGACAATATCAGAGTATTCATTTACTCTCATTATTAATACAGAAAAGCAGCAAAGTCTCAATTTTAAGAAGCTGGAACCAGCAAATGTTTGAAATGTTTTCCTTGAAAAATGACTAAAACAATCAATTGATTATCAAAATAGCTGGTGATTAATTTTCTTGAGACTGACTAATCGATTAATCAGCTAATCTCTGCAGCCGTACCAGGAACACCATGTACTCAAGAAACTATCGGTTTATATTTTGAAGAGACCGTTTTTGAGTCTCACCTCTCTTTGTAACTGTCCCATCTATTGTTTCTCCATCAGTTTAGTTTTCAACATCAAAGTCTTGATTGTTTTTTCTCTGTATTCTCCTCAGATGGTGGACATGCAGATGGACAAGGCGCTCGTGTTTGAAGATGATGTTCGTTTCCAGGCCAACTTCAAGCGACGAGTCCTGAAGCTGATGGAGGACGTTGAACGAGTGGAGCTGGACTGGGACATCATGTAAGATGGGCACATTTTAGTCACATGGTTCTTGTAAGGTTAGACTAAGTCAGTACAGTATCCTCAGAAGTATGTTGTGCATGTGTAGAACAGGAATAGGATCAGAAGTCAGAGGAAAGGAATGCAATACATACGACTTGTGTAGTTGTGTGTCAGTGTTTCTGTGATTATGTTTGTACAGGACATACAAACAACTGTTTGTAATTGAAAGCATGTGGAAATGATTAGACGGAGCTTCAGACACATGATGAAAGCATTTTATAAATATCTATCAGCAGAAAGACGGGAAATGTACCAGCTTCTTTATTCGTGTGTATTGTTGTTGCCATGGCTCTTTGAAAATGCTTAGACACACATGCAGAGCAAATGCTGCTAAAAAGAGACAATACTTCAAAAATGATTTCGACCACGTGGCAGCAAAGAACAGCAACTCTGCAGCAGAGTTCAGGACTCAGATGTTTTTGACATTGCCTCATTACTTCTTGAACATGTTTTTTTTTCTCCTTCTCCCTCTTATTTCTCCCATTGTGGCTTAACGTTGCTGCAGATACCTCGGCAGGAAGCAGGTGAATCCTGGAAAGGAGGAGCCGCTGGAGCACATTCGTAACTTGGTGTTTGCCGACTACTCGTACTGGACGCTCTCGTACGCCATCTCCCTGCAGGGAGCCCAAAAACTGCTCAACGCTGAGCCACTGTCCAAGATGCTTCCTGTCGACGAGTTCCTCCCCATCATGTACGACAAACATCCCAAGTAAGTATGACGACAGCAATAAATCCACCGGCTGAAATTTGTTGCATTTATTGATGCGCACCTCTTACTTTTCTTATTTTAATATGTGATCTTAATGAAATTTTTTATAAAGGTTCTTTCAATCATTTTCACATTTAGCAATTTCTACGATAAAACTTTATTTTCAGCACTCTCCAACATCGCTTCGCTGCCAGACCTATAAATCTAAAACGGACCTCTTTAATTGCTAAAACATGCTTCTGTATAAACTTGTATACATGCTACAGATATATTTAGCATAGTTAGAGATTAAAGAGCTATAGTGAAGTCTGTGGGTTCTTTGAAAAAAGGGTCAGTTCAGGGTATGATCTCTATTCTTGTCAGTTTAACATGCAGCATTTGTCGAGCTGAATTAGAAACACAACATCTCAAAGTAGATCTTTTTATGATGTGCAGGTTTCATAGCAGCATCTCTCTCTGGAAATGATTGTCTGAAGTTTGGGCAAGTCTGGATTGCAACTTTTTTTTTGGCACAGTGTGGTTACCAGATGTACTTGAACAGCTGGAGGGGATTCAGATGTTTGTGGCAAACTTGTGCTGAGCTTTTGTAAAATTAACATTTCTTTTAACGTTTTTAGCTACGCTGTTGGCGTGCCTGGAGGGATGGGAAAGTCAGCAGGTCTGACTCGGCCCACCAGTTTGATCCAGACTGAAATATCTCGGCAAGAGATGAGGATTGGGGTAGATTGCCATGAAATTTTGTACAGACAGTAGTTGTGCCCAGAGGATGAATCTTAGCGTGTCTCTGACTCCCTTAAGTTTCCTCTTGCACTGCCACGAGGTTTGCATTTTTGTTTTATGGTGAAATGTCTGGACAACTTCTGGATGGATCGTCATAAACTTTGGTACTGTCTTTCATATTCGGCTCAGGGTGATATAACTATGATGACCCCTTGACTTTCCAATCAGCCCCATCAAAATACTAGATTTGTCCAGTATTTTCCATCATCCCATTCCATAACCAGAGGTATGCACTCGAGTCAAATGACTGGAGTCACAAATTTAATGACTTTTAACTCAACAAAATCAAAAAAGACTTGCAACTTAACTTGGACTTAAACACCAAAGACTTGTGATTTCACTGGGACTTGGAGCCTTTTGGCCTTCAAAATACCTGACACCTTCCCTTAGGCCAATTAGGGAAAAGAAAGTTATAGAATTTTGTCCAATATGAGATGAGTTAAATACAACAAGACAGGAAAGAAACATACAAAATGTATTATTTTGTGGTGCTGGCTAATAGCGCCATGCTATGAAAGTTCAATGTCAGCACTACATTTTTTCTGATTAAGTTTAGTCTCACTTGTTTTAACAAATAAAAACCAATTTTAAAAGCATCTACAATTACTGATTAAAATATAACTAGTACATTTGATGAAGAGCACACTATGACTTCTTAAGGACTTTAAACTCAAATGTAAGGACTTGGGAATTGACTTGGGATTTGAGTGCAAAGACTTGAGACTTGAGAAACACTGACTTGGTCCCACCTCTCTCCATAACTGCTGGTAATTCCTTCAGCCTTGGCTGCACTTCATGTTTAGAGCAAATGAACTAGCATGCTAACACACTAAGCTAAACATTATACCTGCTAAACATTAGCATATTAGCATTGTCATCATGAAATGTTAGCATGCCATCCCATGTACAGCCTCACAGAGCTGCTTGCATGGCAGTGGACTTAAGTTTACTTTCTTTTATTCATGTTGCCTTCACAGGTGGTCCAACAAAGTTTGTTCTAAAACAGCAACAACATTTAGGTCCTCCCACCAGTCCAAAAATGTCCACTGCTCCTCCTTCTGTTCCCACATTAACCAGGCCCCCAGGAAGTGTGGCAGGCTTTGAGGCCAATTCTTATAGTGGTCAAACATCCATTTATATCCATAACAAGATGCCCTGTGGCCCAAAAAGACTTTTTCCCTTTGCCTATGTGGCGAAAGAGACGTCTGTCAATCTGTAGATACACTTTTTTGAGTGTAACAGCCCCTGTGAAATGACTCGTCTCACTATCAGGATTTGATCCTTTCAGTCCAATAACATTTCTAAAATCTGGAAGAGCTGCAAGATTATATCATTTCATCACATCACAGAGGCAGTGGCTGTGGACTCCATTTAGTCATGTTGGCTCCGCATTTTATCTCCATTCCTGGCTAAACCGGATTGCTTGGCCATCAGAAGCTTTTGGTGCTCCTGCTCTATGGGCCTCACAGTGCAGCAGCAGTGCAGTGTCATTTTGTACACAGCAGTTGAACTTTTCTGGCTTCATGCGCCACTGAGCAACCTTCATAGGAATGAACAGTGCCCCGCCTCCAACACTGTGTCCAGCTCTCTTTATACATCCATGACACTAACTCCTCCTCTATCCCATGACCCCCATAACTCACACAAGGTGGTTGATGTAATTTGTGGTGACTGTTGTATGTTGTTTATTATGAAAACATGATGATGTGCATTATTTGTGTCATCTTCGAAACACTTCAGTTTCATATGGTATACTTTTTTTATTGGCTGCATCTTTATGCAGCCCTGACCCAATTTCCAAACCCATCTCACTGACGTTAGGCCCTCACCAAATGACTTTTATCATCACTCCACAGTTATGATCTAGCAGAGTAACTGGGACACATATGGGGCGCTGACTGTAGGAGATGAAATGCACCTTGGGCTGAAGGGCCTGCAGACCAGAAGGCTTGGCAGTGTCTGTGTGCTCCATCATGTGTGGAAAACTGGCTTAAAGCCAAGCCACTTTCTCTATTCTCTCTCTCACCTCTGTGATTCTAATTCGATATGCTTGACTAGTCTGCTAAGAATGCACAACGACCTCACACCACACATCGGTCCTGCTGTCACCCTTCATGCTAAGAGTAGCTGAACTGTCTTTGAAAATCAGCCTCTGTCTCCATCTCTTGTCAAAGCAGTGTATGCCATATAAATCACAAAGCATCACTGTTAATGAAAGTGTTTAATAATCTGTGCTTTAGTTTTTATTATGTTATCAAGAGTAAAATATGTGTTAAAGTCTCAAATTAATCAAATCACTGTTCTCTTTCTTCTTCAGTGAGGACTACAAGTCCCATTTCCCCAACAGAAACTTACAAGCCTACAGTACGCGCCCCCTCATGGTCCAGCCTTGTCACTACGCCGGTGATCCCCAGTGGGTGAGCGACACGGAGACGTCGACTCTGTGGGACGATGACAACGTTCGCACCGATTGGAGGGGTTCCCACAAGACCCTGAAAGGGGCCGTGCCACCAGACATGCTGTCAGGGTCCTACAGGGATGAACTTTAGTGCGGTGCAGACGTGGCTGTGGAGAACCTGCAGGTCAAAAGTCCATGGGGTCAAAGAGACAGATGCTGAGAGGAGAAAATGTTCCCAGACTCTATTTGAGTCCACTCTGTGTCAGGCCACTGACATGCTCAGTGTCATTTCAACTGGACTTTTCAAAGCATGTCAGCGAGTGTGCGGCACAAGAGGATTTTTTGGGAGGGAAACATTATAAGGGACAGTGTTAATTGAGGCTGTTTGTAAAGAAAAAGAGTTTTAATACTTGCATTGATCCAAACTTTAGATATTTTTTAACTTTATTCGGACATTTTTTTAATATTTTGAGACTTTATACAGTTTTTATAGCTGATTAACAGCATTTTTGTTTGAATGTATGCTTGTGATGGTGTGCATGCTTGTGATAACTGTATGTTTATAATGCTTATTACACAGCTTGTAAAAGGACCTGAAGAGGCAGCCTTACAAGGACTTTTATTTGTTAATCTGTTCATTCCTGACTGAGGCTCCAGTAGCTGCACTGTTCATAACTCCTGGCAAGTCTGGACAAAAGTTTGATCGTGTTATTGCTTTTGTTTTCCTTGTTGGTTTATGTGTCTGTCTATCCATTTCTCTATATGTGCTCATCTTCCATCGGGACTGTTGTGAGATACAGTTGTATTTAAAGGTTAGCTTAAATTGGTTAATTGGTCCAGTATTAAGTGAGAGCGCTGCAGCCGGTAGCGGCGAAACAGGCACCATACGTCCATTAAAAATGCCTGTGTTAGCCACTGACAGGCTCAGATTATTATTTTAAGTGTCTGACAATATTATGGAACGGATCCCTACAGAGATCACCCTTTTTGTGAATGAGTAAGATCCTTTTTGTTTAACCAGAAACAGCCCTGAAATCACCATCACCAAACCCACCAGACTCCATTTAAAAAAGCAGCAATTTTAGCATGTATAGAGCCAGCATATTTTAACATCTAACTGGGTGAATTAAGGGTTTATATTAACCAAATCAGACATGATGATTGTTTGAACAGTGAAAAGACAAACCACGGCAGGTTTTGTGAGTTTTATTTTGTTTCTGTCTACTTCAAATAATATGTGTTTAACCATGACAAAATTGCTGTTTATTTGAATGGAGTCTGGATGTTTTGACGATAGCCGTTTCTTATTAAACAAAAAGGATCTTACTCTTTGACAAAAAGATCTGTCTCTGTAGGGATCCTTTCCATAATGTTGTCAGACACTTATAATAACAATCTGAGCCTGTCAGTGGCAAAACAAGAACTTTTAGTGGACCTAAATTAACAGCACACAATTGCCCATTGACATTATATTGCAGCCTGTTTTGCCGCTGCCGGTTGCAGCACTATCTCTTAATACTGGACCAACTTCAAAAATTGTTGTCTTCATTAGCCACTGAGACAAAGGTATGGGAAAATGGGGTCCAGGCTACAAATACAAAAGTTACCCTTTAACACAAACCTAGACTTGACATAATCGATATTTCCATTGGCTTCACTTACAATTTTAAAGCTGATGTACCTCATGGCCTCTACTGTATAAGTCTGTGTCAGGCCACCAGATACTATTCAGGAAGTGTTTTGTTAGTGAAACTAACACAATGAATGTTTGCATTTGAACAATTTAAGCTTCTTTTAAATGTTTTTCTTACATGTCAAGTCATTAATAGATTAAGTGAAATAACATTGACTCATCAGATCTTCTCATCTATGGCTGTGTTTTAATATTTCTTACATTTCACATGTAGCAAAGTTGTAAGAAAAAAAAGGTGAACTCCATTTGTTGGCAGTGTACATTTAAGAGGGCTTCTATGATTCACCTGGTGGGTAGTGTTCATCCAAATAAAAAATGACCCCACACATGAAGCAGTAGCAGTCTGTAGCATCACTGGGATCGTCGCATGTTTTGGGGGATTCGAGGATTCATATCATAATGATCAAGTTACACTAAATTTACATTACATTCATCTGTCTTCTTAAGCATTTATGGTGGTCTGATGTCATGTATTCTTCTTCTATCTGTTAATAGGAGTGTTGCTTTCCCGTCATATGTCTTAATTTATTTTTCTAGTCTTTATTGGTTCGGTTGATGGATGAGTCACATGTCTTGATGTAAGCAAACAATCAAAGTGTAATGGCTTTTTTTGTCACAAGCCTTTTTTCTTTCTGTGTCAAAACATTTGTATCCAGATGATATGAAACAGGATGTTAAGAGCAACTGTGTAGCAAGCTTTACAAATGTTAAATGAGAATTTGTTTTTACAATTTTTTTCATTGTCAGATTGTGGTTATGCATTTTTTATTAGTTAATAAACTGAACTTTCTGTGGACAGCGCAGTGTGTGTTAACTCAGATATGGTCATTGGTGGGGGAAAAAAAAAAGTACTACCAGATGTTGCACTGACAACAATTCACCACAAGGGGGTGTAATAACTTTTTATTAGGCATGGCTCCAGTCCCTGGATTTCATGAAAGGTATTTGTGAGCACAGTTGGGAAGTTTCAATGAAATTAGTCCATGTTGACTCAAAAAATTGACAAATAGGAAGAAAACAACTCTTTCATGCATAAACTTTCATAATAATGACAACCAGTATAATCCTTCTTTCACTTTAATGTAAAATCAGACATTGTCTCAATTTCTGTCATTTAATTTTCAAATCTTATGAGCTATCTAACAACATCTAATCAAATTGCAGCACCTTTTTCCCCACATATTGGCCAAATAGCTGTATTATTATGTCACCTGTACAGACATTCGTGTGAGAAACAATGGATCTGACACATCATCCACTTCATAAACCAATGGCAAAGGTGAAGAGGGTGCGGCTAACATGTCTATTCATGTTATAAAATATGCTAACTTAGCAGCTATGAGACAAGACCTGAAAATATAAACAAATTATCTGGAGTGCAGCTCACTTTTATACAGTATATGTAGCAGAGGGTACCTGCTCCATCTCTCTTTCAGCTGAGGGGTTCTTGGCTTGGAAAACACCGCAGACCCCTGCTCTAAGTGTTATTTCTATGTGTTACTATAACTGTCTATCATACATTTATTACCTGATCAATGGATTAACAAAGTCAAACCAAATCCTATTTATCTATATGCTTCTATATATGTAGCTGTCTGCACGTGCAGTAATCTATCCGGTTTACATAACCTTATGTCACGTAACACCATGTGAGAATGAATACAACCCTATGTACTTATAAGCTTTCTGTTTGCATAAGCATAGCATACAAACTTGCAAATGTACGTGTGTGTGTGTGTGTGTGTGTGTGTGCGCGCGCATGTCATGCAAACTAAACCGGTCAGACAACCACATGAATCAGTTTCAGGCATTCAGCAGAACCCAGCCATGTAGATAAAACAGAGGGATTGGCTACATTTTCTAGATTATGCCCCTTTCCTGCTCTAGGCTGTATGAACTGGAGAGAACCTCCTCTCACAGGAGGGAACATAAACTCTGTGTGTTATTGGCTGCCGGCTTGGAGGTGGGGATTCATGAAGTCAACTTGGCAGGCGGAGCAACTGCTTATGGCCTAGGGCTTCAGAGCATAAGCTTTCATAATGTTAACTTTGGTAGGGTTGTGTATGGCTTTAAAACATTTTCTCTTCCTTCATACTCCACTGCAAGATTACCAAGACTATGTATCCAATGCCTCACACACACAAACTCTTCATACATGTAGTCCCATGCAGATCTGATGTTCTTCTTCTGCTTGATTTGGTCTCTGGACTGTGAGGACTCTCAACAACAGCTGCTACCCTGCCAGCCCCCAACACCCACAACCACACAGTTTATTTATCTGAATCTGGAACAAACAACAAACTGACTATGCGTTTCTTCTTTGGTCATGTTTGTGTGCTTCATTCTCAGTAAGGTTTTCTATACTCATTTCATGTTAGTAGTAACCTGAAAGTAACTCTAGATCTGAGTACACGGATAGACCTGTAATGGGCTTTACTATTGAGGCAGATCCAGTGTTAGCATGCATGCCCTATAAAATAGCAGCACAACCATCTGCCCCCTTTTGACCCAGGAACTGAATACAGGCGCCAGCTGGGGATGCCATTAGTGGGCTGCACATGAGCTCTTAGAACTAGAGTTATATCCATGTAACTACTATTTCTATTTTGTACATGCTTTGCAATCTAATGTATTAGTAAACACCTGAGGCGAAGGCTGCTCAGGATGTGATGCGCTCCCAGCTGGACCTGAATCTGCATACAGTATCTTAGACCCAACTGCTGACTGGGAAGTGGCGAGGTCACTGAGCACTGCTCACCTAGGAGTCCCACAGCCTACGCCTTCAAGTTTGAATCTGAACCAGATGCTTCCCCGACAGATGTTGCACCAAGCATGAGTGAGACATACAACCAGACATCATATCCTTGAGATCTGACAGCACAAAGGTAGAACTGGGAGACTGTGAGGCAGCCTTCCGACAACATGCCCCTATAGAGGTTGGATAACAAGGAAACTTCCTGGTCTCGCCCAGGGAGCCCATTCCATTGCCTCATAACCTGTGCAAATCTAAAGCTATTCGCTGAGCAATCAGAGAAGCAGGATGACTGCCATGGTCTTGGGTTGGCTGTGGGAATCAGCTGATCCAAGTTGCGGCCATCCGAGTCAGACTTTTGTACCATCTGGCACCAGGCCCCTCTAGTGTCATCACTCTTGCTGGCATGCACTCAGCACTGATTCTGCAGAGAAATGTGCATCATGGACTTAAGAGGCAGGAACAGGAGCAGGTTAGGGGGGCATACTGGATGGTAAATGGACCTGCACTTGTATAGCGCCTTTCTAGTCTTCCAACCACTGAAAGCACTTTTTACACTACGAGTCACATTCAACCCATTCAAACATTGGTGGCCGAGGCTACCATACAAGGAGCCACCTGCTCACACACCGATGGAACAGCCATCTGGAGCAATTTGGGGTTCAGTATCTTGCTCAAGGATACTTCAGCACGTGGGCTGGAGGAGCCAGAGAACCAACCACTGATCTTACCATTAGTGGACGACGCACTCTACCTCCTGAGCCACAGCCGCCGGATGAGCGAACATGTCACAAGCAGGATTTGCACTCCTGCAGCAGATCCTAGCACAAGCCTATGGAATTTTATATTGTATAAATTAGTCTAACGACGGGCGATCTTTTCCTCTTCTCATATAAAACCAGGGACAAACGCAACATTTCACAAAGGTAACGGCACATGATTTGGCTCTGTTATAACTCACAAGGTTCACCGACAAAACAACTGTCATTCTAAACATGTTTTCCAAACAACTACAACATACTAACGTCATTAGCGCCAGCCTATGGCATTCTACATTGTATAAATTAGCCTAGCGACAAGCAGAGGAAGCCAGGATAAACCCCAAAGTATAAATCCCTGAAGGATAAATTACACACAAGACTTAAAATGCTATTTTTGTGGAGGCTTTATTGTCTTCACAATTTATTGTTTCTTATCTCTGAAATAAAAGTGAATAAAAGCTTCGTTTCCACTGAGGGAAATAGTTTCAGCGTACAAACATAGACAGGAGATCTGCATTGCCCCGATGTATGGATGTGCAGTTACATTTCTAGGGAGGTGCACGTCGACGGCGTAGGTTACAGCAACGCAGAAGTATAAATTCCGCCTTAGGGAGAGAAGAAGCAACATGATCCCAGATGGATCCCTCTGACCTGCACATGTATTACAACCTAGCTGAAATGATTCAGTGCAGTACAGAAAGCTGATGTTCCCTCAAAGTGGAGAGGGCCAGTAGTAGAGTCCACCTGATGGTGGGACAGTCCAAGGAAACACAGTGGTAGCTGTAGTGCAGTCCTGACACCTAACCTTCCCGGGTTATGTTTACCCTTGATAGGACCATGGTGCTGCAAGTTTTAGCTCCAAAGGTCATGCATATTGAACCTTTTTGATGAACACATCTAAATGCATACAATGTCATACAACATCATTAGGATTTTTTTTTCTTTTATTAATTTGTATAGGGTTTTATTAATTAGCAGAGTGACATGTGCTTTAGGTTGTGTGGGGACACAGAATTTGATCCTGTGTTGTCTTAGGAATTGATTTTCAGTGTCCTCATTTGACTCGGCAGATGTCTGGACTGATACCAAACTGCCGCCCTCCTTTATTTACACCATGGATGTATGATTGACAGACATGTGGATATGAATTAACTGAACGTCTCTGTCACGCTTGAGTGTCTGACTGTGGGAGGGGAGGGGTCTAGACAGGAACTACAACCGCGGTCCGACACCTATGATCTGACAGCTACTAAACTGCAGCTCCCCTGCCACACTTTCAAACGCTGTCGCTCTGTGGTGCACTCCAGTAATCGGCCATTTTTTGCGCCTCCAATCCGCCTTCCTGCAAACTGTTTTTCAACCGCTTGAGATCCTGCACCGAGTGTGTTTTCCGGTACAGTTTGTGTAGCAGGCGGAACCGAGTGTAAGTGTGCATGTGGGAACATCTGAGTCACTGTGTGAATGAGGTTTGGTAACTTAGCGTTGCTTTGCGGTGCTTGTTGGTGTGAGAGATCGCATGCAGCGCTTATGCCACGTTAGCGCTCGCAGCTGCTGAAGCTGTTGTTATTTTGGGATGTGGCGTTTACATGTAGTGCATGCGGTGTTTTCAATAGGCATGTTCAGTTAGGCGCTAATGTGTTGCTGCTTATTCTTGAATGTTATGAAGCATGTATGTTAGTGAGAGTTTACAGTGCACAAAGGTGCAGTGCAGGACCGAGCAGTGTGTTCTGTGACACTGTTGCAGTTCTGCAGCCAGTTTGAAGTTTGTTGCCTTTTCTTCAGATCTCCTTTCAAGTTATTGGAGGTTGCATAAGTTTGAAGTGCACAGTGTGAAAGTCCACAGTTGCTCCTCGCCTGCCATGCATATTGCTCCCTAAACTTGTTACTCTTCATTCTCAGTGCAAAAATGTGCAGACAGTTGTTGTAACTTTACTTGTCAGCTCATTGGTGGCGGCACTGTACATGATTAATATCAATTTATTGTCATGGTAGCTGGGTCACTAACCTACAAATGGTGCTTGATGTTCACAGGACAGGCTGCTCTGAACCCTGTGCGAAAACTAGCCATGTGGCTGAGAAGGCAGCAGTGCTTGTACCTTCACAAACAATGCTGTCACTCATTGACCATGTTAAACTGCAGCTTCATCTTTTTTAGTGATAATATGACACAGTGAACCTTGATCTATAGTTTTGCAGGCGGATCTCAAACCACCTGTTTTACCTGACCTTTGCGGAAAGACACAAAGACAGCATTAACTACAGCAAACAGAAATTGTCAAGGTAGAACAGATGCCATGCAAAGCAACAAGCAGCAGCAGAGCATCAGGACAATACAATAATAACAACAACAACAACAACAACAACAGAATTTTTTTGTGTCATGTCACCTGTCACTTTGCTATGTTAAATACAAATGTATTTTTTTTAAATAGCTTTGAAACAGGTTGCACTGTACATGACTTATTTTTGTGAGACAAATAACATACAACATACAGCAGGTGCACACACACATATCTGGGGACCACTTGGCATGGCCAGAGCTCCCCCTGGTCATCTAACTAGACTCAACATTCATATGTTATTTAATTCCCACAAACAAGTACATATAAAATACATATACACACTCACATACAGTACAGGCCAAAAGTTTGGACACACCTTCTCATTCAATGCGTTTTCTTTATTTTCATGACTATTTACATTGTAGATTCTCACTGAAGGCATCAAAACTATGAATGAACACATGTGGAGTTATGTACTTAACAAAAAAAGGTGAAATAACTGAAAACATGTTTTATATTCTAGTTTCTTCAAAATAGCCACCCTTTGCTCTGATTACTGCTTTGCACACTCTTGGCATTCTCTCCATGAGCTTCAAGAGGTAGTCACCTGAAATGGTTTTCCAACAGTCTTGAAGGAGTTCCCAGAGGTGTTTAGCACTTGTTGGCCCCTTTGCCTTCACTCTGCGGTCCAGCTCACCCCAAACCATCTCGATTGGGTTCAGGTCCGGTGACTGTGGAGGCCAGGTCATCTGCCGCAGCACTCCATCACTCTCCTTCTTGGTCAAATAGCCCTTACACAGCCTGGAGGTGTGTTTGGGGTCATTGTCCTGTTGAAAAATAAATGATCGTCCAACTAAACGCAAACCGGATGGGATGGCATGTCGCTGCAGGATGCTGTGGTAGCCATGCTGGTTCAGTGTGCCTTCAATTTTGAATAAATCCCCAACAGTGTCACCAGCAAAACACCCCCACACCATCACACCTCCTCCTCCATGCTTCACAGTGGGAACCAGGCATGTGGAATCCATCCGTTCACCTTTTCTGCGTCTCACAAAGACACGGCGGTTGGAACCAAAGATCTCAAATTTGGACTCATCAGACCAAAGCACAGATTTCCACTGGTCTAATGTCCATTCCTTGTGTTTCTTGGCCCAAACAAATCTCTTCTGCTTGTTGCCTCTCCTTAGCAGTGGTTTCCTAGCAGCTATTTGACCATGAAGGCCTGATTGGCGCAGTCTCCTCTTAACAGTTGTTCTAGAGATGGGTCTGCTGCTAGAACTCTGTGTGGCATTCATCTGGTCTCTGATCTGAGCTGCTGTTAACTTGCGATTTCTGAGGCTGGTGACTCGGATGAACTTATCCTCAGAAGCAGAGGTGACTCTTGGTCTTCCTTTCCTGGGTCGGTCCTCATGTGTGCCAGTTTCGTTGTAGCGCTTGATGGTTTTTGCGACTCCACTTGGGGACACATTTAAAGTTTTTGCAATTTTCCGGACTGACTGACCTTCATTTCTTAAAGTAATGATGGCCACTCGTTTTTCTTTAGTTAGCTGATTGGTTCTTGCCATAATATGAATTTTAACAGTTGTCCAATAGGGCTGTCGGCTGTGTATTAACCTGACTTCTGCACAACACAACTGATGGTCCCAACCCCATTGATAAAGCAAGAAATTCCACTAATTAACCCTGATAAGGCACACCTGTGAAGTGGAAACCATTTCAGGTGACTACCTCTTGAAGCTCATGGAGAGAATGCCAAGAGTGTGCAAAGCAGTAATCAGAGCAAAGGGTGGCTATTTTGAAGAAACTAGAGTATAAAACATGTTTTCAGTTATTTCACCTTTTTTTGTTAAGTACATAACTCCACATGTGTTCATTCACAGTTTTGATGCCTTCAGTGAGAATCTACAATGTAAATAGTCATGAAAATAAAGAAAACGCATTGAATGAGAAGGTGTGTCCAAAGTTTTGGCCTGTACTGTACATCCATACAAAACAAGCAGCAAAACAAAACGTTAAGGTAGATGAATGATAATAGTTATAGAGGTTGTAATAGCAATGAGAAAAATATATATAATTAAATAATTCTTTATTAGTGTATTACAAGACCTTGAATATTCTGCACAATACAGCTCACATGTCTCTGTCCTGTTGTGTCCTCCACAGGGGCCATGGCCTTCCTTGGAAGCGCAGTTCGGCGGGTGGTGTCGGCGGTTCGGCCTCCTCTCTCCCCCTTGTGCCGGACAACCGCTCGGTCCTACAGCTCAGAGCCCACCAAAGAAAAAAATGTTCCCTATGAGAAGACGCTCAAACAGACGGATGGAGCCTCTTCTGGACCCACTAAACCTTTACCCAGGTTAGCTTAGAGGATGGATGGTGTTTACGTTATATGTACTGTAAAGGTGACTGTTGACTTCTGGTAGGTTTTGCATTTTAAGACCAGCTTCTGTTGGTTTCATGACATCATGATAAGGAGATTTAGGTTGAAGAATATGCTCATAGCTGAGTAAGTTTTTTTGCAATGTGTCATGACATAGTGCAATTACGGACAAGTTGATGGAGGGATAATGGTCATGATGACTTCTGCAAGGCCTGAACAGATCGTAGGTGCTCTATGGATCACTCAGGTCTGGGAAATGTCTGAAAACAAAGACATCTGGTGGTCAGTCTAATAATAATAAAAGATTTTTCTTTTTAACTTAAGGCAAAAAAAGTGATATACTAATAGGTCGATATTTTTGAAAATGTATTTATATACCACCAGTAGGCACGTCCCACTGGTAGGAGGCCCCGGGGTAGACCCCGCACATGCTTGAGGGATTTCATATCTCATCTGGCCAGGAAACACCTTGGGGTCCCCCAGGAGGAACCTGAAAGCTTTGCTGGGGAGCGGGATGTCGGGGGTGCTTTGCTTGGCCTGCTGCCCCCACGACTAGGTCCTGGATTAGCGGATGGATGGATGATTATTTACTTTCTTGCAGAGAATTTGATGAGAAAATCGATACCATGCTTATAGCTGTCTGTTAAACATGAAACCACAGCCGCTAACCAGTAAGCTTAGTTTAGGAAAAACCAGATGAGGAGGGAAACCGCCTGATATAATCCCTCAAGAAGCAAGACTTGTTGGTATTATTACCCTTTTGCATGCTGCTTATGGTCTTGCACCTGGTTGCCACCTTTACGAAGTCCCAACCTCACCTGCGTGCTGTGCTCAGAAATATTCTGAATGAAAAGACAGACAGAGGGCAGAGTCTTTGCAGAGAAGTACATTGTACAAAGTACAAAGTACACACTTCGGATGGGTCAGGAGTGATGACTGAGAGAGATTAAAATCCTGCATGATATACCCCTGAAACAAAACAGGATACAACATGTTAATAAGTGCGCTTTAGAGGTGCTTGTAGGTAGTCTTTGTCACCTCCGGTCAGAGCCGGCCTTGCTGTTTCCCTCTGTTTTCAGTCTTTATGCTAAGCTATGCTAACTGTCTGCGGGCTGTATCCTCATATTTAGCAGACCGACATGAGTGCGGTATCGATCTTCTTCTCTAACTTTCCTCGACAACAAAGCAAATCTGTGAATTTCCAAAAAAGTCAAAATGTTCTTCACATAACTGAAAGCAGCTTTTTATTTTTGACTTAATGTAGTGAATGGTGTCACTGGTTTGAGTTCTAAGTGGCATCGTGCTTAAGGTAATTTGAAAGTCATGCTCTTAGCTCACCTGTCGTTATCTGCCACCTGCCTCAGGTCAGCAGACGTGGTGGTGATCGGAGGAGGCAGTCTGGGCTGTCAGACCATCTACCACCTGGCTAAAATGGGGATGTCCAATGCAGTTCTGCTGGAGAGGGACAGACTGACTGCTGGCACCACCTGGCACACTGCAGGTAACAGATCCTATAGAATATGTACAGGTGTAAGGTGGACTTCTCAGTGCACTGATACCAGTTAAACCACCTTTACTCTCACTCTTTACTTATCTACCAACAGTATCTTTTTGTCTCTATCTCCTGTACTTCAAGGTCTCTGCAGATAAAGTGCTCACAGTTGTGCATTTGTATGTTCGGCTGCATGTGTGCTCACACACACTGTACATGCATTTCTGTCTAAGAACGTTAGTAAATCCACTAATGTGTGTGTCTGTTCTTTAGGCCTGCTGTGGCAGCTGCGTCCCAGTGATGTTGAGGTAGAGCTCCTGGCCCACACCAGGAATGTGGTCAGCAAAGACCTGGAGGCGGAGACGGGTCTCCACACAGGCTGGATCCAGAATGGAGGTCTCTTCATTGCCTCCAACAAACAGAGGCTGGACGAGTACAAGCGCCTCATGTCGGTAAGAATCGACATTGCGATAAAAAACAAGGCAGTGCTGATTAAATATAAGTAAAGTTTCTGTTACTGTGTTACCTGTTCCTCACCTCAAATGTTTTCAGAAACATATTTTAGCTTATTGTTTAACTGTAATTCAAGATTGTTTATAACCAGCCGGTCGGTGTATTTTTATTACTGTGGGGCAAATGCCACAGTGCCTTTCCTTTGTTTTGCTTTATCTGGTCATGTAGCACCAATTTCACAAGTATTTGTGTCTTTCTACTGCATAGACAGCCGGGTTTCATAAAAAGACCAACTTCCCAGCAGTCAAATACTCCATTAAAATGTCTTCTGTCGCACTGTAGTTATGACAAAATAGTCTGTAAAGCAAACGTTTATAGCAGCACTGTGCTTCTTTGTCAAACATGGAGGATGGAGAAATCAGACTTCGTCAAACTTGGCCCCTTGATGCTCAGTACAGAGGGAGACACTAAACTAACCAGCATTTGCTAATGCTAGGTTACATACTGACACCTAAGTGCTATTATAGCTGCCTGGTTTATTTGTTTCTCACCAAACAGCCGATGTTATGTGACAGTGACTGCTCTCACATCAATCCGAGGTGATTTCAATGTATAATAACTTGCATTAGGTGCTGTTATTATAGCTTCAAATGGTTTCCATGGCAACATGTGTCACAGAGTCCACTACAAAGCATGTGGCTGCAAACGCTAACAGGTTTTTTTAAAGAATACAAAAACACTTCAGACAGAGGAAGTATTGCTGTGACACACAAAAGGTAATCAATCATGTTTTTGTAGACTTCATACACATTTGTGCTTCAAGAAAAAGCTAAGTAAGTGTGTAGGTAGTAGGTGGATATGATTACTACCTGGACTGTTGCATGTAAACACAGGCTTTACAATAACCAGGCTGCTACAGTGCATATAAATGACACTGTGATTTCTCCAACTAGCACTTCTCTAAATAAAAAAAACTGATTGTTAGTGAGCGAGTTGGTGGGCTGCTGACAAGTAATGGCTCATAAATATAGGTATTATTGAGGTAATGGCCCCTGTTGTCACAATTACCAAAGAACAATACCTGATAGAAACTTAATTTGTGCGTACACCACAGGCTCCCTCTAGTTAATTAGCAGTTTTTAAAAGAACTGCATGTTAATGGGGTGGAACAGATTTGACATTTTTTCCTTTATTTGGCCTCACTTAACAGCAGCACTTTTTACATCGTAATTATGGAACACAAAAATAGAACATGGGGTGTTCTTCATTTGAGATAAATGAAATATAATAAAAACAATTTTATTTATTAAATAAATGATGCAGGACCACCACTGCTTCACCCAGCTTAGACTTCTCAGGGTGCTGGAAACATCAAAAAGTCCACACTGGTAGCAAAAGAATTCTGCACACTCTCAGTCTATGCAACACACCCGTGCACAAACCTGGTGAAAGAAGCTTCACCTGCTTTTATTAAAGGAACAAATTTTAAGAAAGAAAGGTGTTCTAGGGAAATAAACATTTTTCATGTCCTCCAAATTTCCTCAGATTCAATATCCTAAAGCCTCAAGGAGAAGGTAATTCTTTCCATTACAAAGATTTCATAAATTATATCATACCAGTTTCCTATAGTAAAACTCCAAATAAGTATTTTGTTTTAATCACTGTAGATGTTGAAAGTAGAAGCCCAAAAGGGAGTTCATCCCAATTAAAAGTAATTTTTGGCCAAAATATAGTCACTAATTCTAAATAAATCCTACTTTTAGACAGGCCCAAAACAAGTGGTATTGGTTGGCTTCCAGGGAGGAAGAGCATCACGCTTGAAACGTCACGCAAAATAAAAAAAAATTGCATACGGGAGCTCTTTTGGTGTGCGGATCGCTTTTTTTTTTTTCCATGCTTTTGATACTTTGATCCAGCACCCAACCCAGTGGGCTTCGGGGATGTGCGTGTCCTATTTTTTATCATACTTTTTGCTTCCAGGGAGCCACATTTCCTCCAGCAGCTGGAAGAGCCTGAACAGGTGTAATAAAATAGCTACGAAGACTCCTTCAGCCAAATGATGTTCAGAAGGTTCAGCTCTTTTGTGGAAATTCACAATAAAACACCTTTCAACTCTCTTACATAAATGATTCGGTGTCCCTTGATTAAAAAAGGCACAGTATGAGGAGAAACCTTGGTTAAACCGATTTCCAACTACTGCAGCAACTCGTCTGGGCGTTTAAAGCTGACTTAGTATTTTGTTTGTTTTTTTAGCTCAGCACAGTTGTGGCACATTACCAAGGAAAAAGCTCAATTTAACTTTGTTTTCTGAGGTCCAAAGTTCACTTAAAACTTCCCCTAACCAATGCATGGGGTGAAAGTGACCCAGCCAAGCCACCAAAAAGCAGTGAAATGGTTATGTCAACAATGATATTTTACCACTGACTGTAACTCAGCTCCTCCTGCATATGCCTCAGGAAGTGTTTTTTTTTTTTTTTAAATTTGAATCTAGAATAAAGGTGATAAAGCTGAAGAAATCCCTCTCAGGCAAGACCATAACCAATTTTAACGTGCTATTTTCCTCTCATTTCTAGCTGGGTAAAGTTTATGGCATCGAGTCCCATGTCCTGTCACCTGCGGAGACCAAAGACCTGTATCCCCTGATGAATGTTGATGACCTGTACGGAACCCTGTACGTACCAAAAGATGGTACCATGGACCCAGCAGGCACCTGCACCACCCTGAGCAGAGCCGCCACCGCCAGGGGAGCCACGGTAATGTGCGCTGGTCTGCTGACTGGTGGCTTCACTGTTGGACCGGCAGTATACACAATGTTTAGTCCTGTTCATACATCATTCATCACAGTGGATTTATGTGTTTGTGATTGCAGTTTAGTTAACCAAATAAATATCAGTTAGTGCTCGGGGTGCGTTCCCAATCGCATACTTTTTCTTTTAACTTTTAGTAGGTACTGCTGGTGCCCTTAAAGTATGTTCTGTCGCATGCAGTATGCACACAATCGGGACACACTACTTCCTCATAACGTAACCTACTGAACTATGACCCTATTCCTCATATGTCTATCTTGATGGAGATAAAATAAAATGTTCACCGACCTCGAAAGACACGGAGGTCAATTCGGACAGGTCTGATGTAGTTATTTTGCAATGTTAGAACTGCGTACATTGTAGATTCTGACATATTCACGAGTAAAATTGCAGAGGCTATACAGTTCTCTGTCATTGTCATTTAATACTTAAGCCCTTGCTTATATTTGGATTATTTTATTCAATTAAACAATTGATATTTCTTTTATTACTAATCGACTGGTCATCAGTCACCTGAATGTGCTGTCATCCATCATTGCAACTTCTGTCACCTGTCAATGGGCTGTCACCTGTTTGCGGCTCAGTCAATGGTGATGTATCGTCGGCTGTGCAGAGGATTGTGGGTCAGAATAGCAAGAAAAGCATGCTGGCTTGCATACTGCAAAGTCGGACCAGATGTAGTAGAACATCCTGGTATTTTTGGCATACTGCATTTGACATACTATGAACTGGGACATACTAAATCTTTTTCTGGCATACTCTATAGCAGTGGTTCACACTGGTGTGCCATGATGTTAATCCAGGTGTGCTGTGGGATTTTGCGATAACTACACATTGTAATATTCAACTGGGCTTATAGCAGAATGTTATGAGTGAATTATTAATTGACTGTTTTAGTATGTTGTGCACCCCCATTCCCTAATAAAGAGGCAAACTCTAGCTAAAAATAAAAAACCTTCATGAGGAACCTATTTGTTGCCATTCACGCATGGGAATTATAAGTGTGTGACACATCAAAAGCCCTGATTGGCAGCCAGTGTGAGGGATGATAACATTTAAAGGAGAAAGCCGTGAGTGTGATAATGGATCGCTTTAGTGTGTGGAGCAACTGAAAGAAGAGAGAAAGAACCTGTCAGTAGACAGTATCATGAAAGCTACCTGTCTTATTTTTATTGTCTTATGTTGTGATAAGAGTGATAACACAGGTTATAGAGGCTATTGGCCACAGATATAAATACAGGTGTGCCTTGGGATTTTGGCTTCCCTTTGGTTTGCCTTGGGCACAAAAAGTGTGAAAACCACTGCTCTACATTATGGTAGTATAGGTATTGGAACGCACAGTCCAACTAGTTTGCAAGTTAAGTGAGCTGCCCTCTGATTTTTGTCGTTTGTGACAGTCTGTGGAAAAATAGCATCCACATCTGAGCCCTTATCTGAGAATCCAGTGTAGGTAGCCATGTTGCAGCCATGTGTGCAACTAAACATTAGATGTTGTTTCAATAAATGACATCTTTTAATCACAGTGAGTAGATGCAAACACAACATCATACTGTTGAAACTGATCAATAGCCTGACTAAGACCTGCATATTTTTCATAGTCAGTGCAGTGTAAATAAGAATAGGGATAATATGTAGGTTTTACATATATGCAATGAAATGATAACTTTAGGCTGACTTTTTAGCCTCATAAAGTTAGCTACTTTTTGGGGAAGGTCACCATGATAACTGAGACTGCACAGATGCTGGAAAGCTCAGGCTATCAGATCCAAAAATCTCTCCCAAGAGGAAAATCACCAATCATTTTTCTTAAACAACGATATCACAATCTCTGGATTAATGTACTTAGCCTCAACAGCTTGAAACCAGTGAAACCATGTGAACACTGTATGACAGACTTTGTGTGTTGTACTGTTTGTTTTGCTGTTACACGTGGAAAAAACTCCGCTTTAGTGTGCTGTTTGCTCTCAGTGAACTACTTTGTGTTTATCACATTTTACATTAGTTTACTGCACGGTTATTTATGAGTAATTATCAATAATATTACAAAGTGTGGCAAAATTTGTTCAAAGGAGAGTGATTAATTCAGTAGACTAAAGCCATACCACGGTCACAGCAGTGCTGGAGAATGTTCGGCCAGACTTGTGACTAGAAAATCCTGTCTAAGCCACAGTGAGCAGATATTAATGATATTAAAAGTCTAATATTTTTCGTCTACTATACTCTATGACTTGTCTGTATATTACATACAGGGACTCTTGCAAGGGTGGAGCAAAGCATAAACATCTCCATGTCGCATGTCAATAACTTCACACTGTCCTCTTTGAATCAGGTGATTGAGAACTGCCCTGTGACTGGTATCCAAGTGCAGACAGATGACTTTGGTGTGAAGAGGGTGAAGGCAGTGGAGACTGATCATGGGACCATAGAGACGCCTTGTGTGGTGAACTGTGCAGGTGAGATACATTCAAGATCAGCTAATCATCCCAAAAACAGCAAAAAAAGTGTTATTGAAAATATAAATTGAACATTGTTCTGAGCACATTTCTTGACATGCTGTGAGGCATTGTTGATGTGACTTTGGGAAGTGTTAGGAACATCTCCATGCTGTTGCAAATATGCCATGTACAAGTGATTTGATACTTAACGCATAACAACAATTAGGTGCAATTTTACAAATGATTTTGCCCAGTTTACTTTAGATTTAAAGGTGGCATTTTTCTGACATTTTTCACTCTGTGTGTTACACGCAGGTGCGTGGGCCACCAAGCTGGGGCAAATGGCCGGAGTCAAGGTGCCTCTTATTGTGATGCACCATGCCTATGTGGTGACAGAGAGAATTGAAGGCATACAGGTAAGACCTTCATGTGGCATACAGTACAGGCCAAAAGTTTGGACACACCTTCTCATTCAATGCGTTTTCTTTATTTTCATGACTATTTACATTGTAGATTCTCACTGAAGGCATCAAAACTATGAATGAACACATGTGGAGTTATGTACTTAACAAAAAAAGGTGAAATAACTGAAAACATGTTTTATATTCTAGTTTCTTCAAAATAGCCACCCTTTGCTCTGATTACTGCTTTGCACACTCTTGGCATTCTCTCCATGAGCTTCAAGAGGTAGTCACCTGAAATGGTTTCCACTTCACAGGTGTGCCTTATCAGGGTTAATTAGTGGAATTTCTTGCTTTATCAATGGGGTTGGGACCATCAGTTGTGTTGTGCAGAAGTCAGGTTAATACACAGCCGACAGCCCTATTGGACAACTGTTAAAATTCATATTATGGCAAGAACCAATCAGCTAACTAAAGAAAAACGAGTGGCCATCATTACTTTAAGAAATGAAGGTCAGTCAGTCCGGAAAATTGCAAAAACTTTAAATGTGTCCCCAAGTGGAGTCGCAAAAACCATCAAGCGCTACAACGAAACTGGCACACATGAGGACCGACCCAGGAAAGGAAGACCAAGAGTCACCTCTGCTTCTGAGGATAAGTTCATCCGAGTCACCAGCCTCAGAAATCGCAAGTTAACAGCAGCTCAGATCAGAGACCAGATGAATGCCACACAGAGTTCTAGCAGCAGACCCATCTCTAGAACAACTGTTAAGAGGAGACTGCGCCAATCAGGCCTTCATGGTCAAATAGCTGCTAGGAAACCACTGCTAAGGAGAGGCAACAAGCAGAAGAGATTTGTTTGGGCCAAGAAACACAAGGAATGGACATTAGACCAGTGGAAATCTGTGCTTTGGTCTGATGAGTCCAAATTTGAGATCTTTGGTTCCAACCGCCGTGTCTTTGTGAGACGCAGAAAAGGTGAACGGATGGATTCCACATGCCTGGTTCCCACTGTGAAGCATGGAGGAGGAGGTGTGATGGTGTGGGGGTGTTTTGCTGGTGACACTGTTGGGGATTTATTCAAAATTGAAGGCACACTGAACCAGCATGGCTACCACAGCATCCTGCAGCGACATGCCATCCCATCCGGTTTGCGTTTAGTTGGACGATCATTTATTTTTCAACAGGACAATGACCCCAAACACACCTCCAGGCTGTGTAAGGGCTATTTGACCAAGAAGGAGAGTGATGGAGTGCTGCGGCAGATGACCTGGCCTCCACAGTCACCGGACCTGAACCCAATCGAGATGGTTTGGGGTGAGCTGGACCGCAGAGTGAAGGCAAAGGGGCCAACAAGTGCTAAACACCTCTGGGAACTCCTTCAAGACTGTTGGAAAACCATTTCAGGTGACTACCTCTTGAAGCTCATGGAGAGAATGCCAAGAGTGTGCAAAGCAGTAATCAGAGCAAAGGGTGGCTATTTTGAAGAAACTAGAATATAAAACATGTTTTCAGTTATTTCACCTTTTTTTGTTAAGTACATAACTCCACATGTTCATTCATAGTTTTGATGCCTTCAGTGAGAATCTACAATGTAAATAGTCATGAAAATAAAGAAAACGCATTGAATGAGAAGGTGTGTCCAAACTTTTGGCCTGTACTGTATATATGAGGACAACTTGACTGTGGTTTGTGATATATTATATTCAAAATAAAATCAACCACAGCACACCGTTTTGTAGATCCTGGTAGTATGTTAGATAATAGCAGGTATGATTTTCTCACCCTGAAAGAAAAAGCTGACCTGTGCAGCAAAGCTGTGCCTGAAAAATCTTGAAGATGGAAGAGGCTCCTGATTATAATTGTGCTATTTTGATTGAATTTTTTTGTCTCTGGCTCATACTAATGTCAGAAGCACTGATTCTTTGATACTTTTTAATACCAAGTGTTTAAAATGATATGATTGCTGTTAAAAATACATTTAGTAGTATCAAAAGTACCAAAGCTATACAAAAAGAAAAAGATCAACAATCAGATTTTCAACCCAGGGCTAAATGAATGAAACAACAGAGAAGAAAATCAGCTGGTCCTCAACCTGTGGCTGTTTCGACATTCTCTCCAGCAGTGAACCATCATGAGACAAGAGGCGTGTGTTCAGTGACTTTTTCTGTATCAGCAGTTTGTGCAGTTGGTTAAAAAAAACCCAATATCCTATTTTGTGTACCAAGGACTTTTTTAGGCTTCGCGCCGGCAATAGCTGTGGCTGGAGAAATTCTTTTTATGGTTTGCACAAACATTCATTTGGATGCACTGATGGCAGCCTAGTGGTGCAGTGGTTAGTATTGTCGCTTCACAGCAAGAGGGTTCCCGGTTTGAATCCAGGGTGGGGGGTTTCCTTCTGTGCAGAGTTTGCATGTTCTCCCCATGTCAGTGTGGGTTTTCTCCAGATACTCCAGCTTCCTCCCACAGTCCAAAGACATGCAGGTTAATTGGTGACTCTAAATTGTCCGTAGGTGTGAATGGTTGTCTGTCTCTATGTGTCATCCCTGTGATAGTCTGGTGATCTGTCCAGGGTGTACCCTGCCTCTTGCCCAATGTCAGCTGGGATAGGCTCCAGCCACCCACGACCTCTAACAGGTTAAGTGGTTACAGAAAGTGAATTAATTAACTTTTCTGGCCATTAGTCAATGTCATATCTCAGGAACAGAAGGGGAACATTTCGTCAGATATTGAATTGGTGACACTAATCTTGGGTGCCCACCTTGAAACTGTGCTGATTTTATAAACCTCTGTGGATGTGCGTGAAGCATCCATGTTTTCATAGACATGGTTTCATAGAACCATAAGTAACTTTGATACCTGATTGTATGTGTAATGACACAATGCCACTGTTACCGTGTGACAATTACTGTAAGATGTCAAAAGACTTACATTACATTATGCATGATTTATAATACGCTACTTACTTCACTGTTCTTTTTACATCTCCCAGGAGACAGAAATTCCTTCATCTGTCTGTATTAAATCTGTGTGACCAGCAGGGGGCACTGTGACTCTATAGATTTCCACCTGTAGTGGTTCAGAAGGCTGTCAGTGAGTGTTGGAATGAAGTGCGTGCTTGTTTGCGTAAGAGAGAAGGGGAGATTGGCTTTATTTGGTGTGATAATGTGTGTGTTTGGGGGAAATGGGAGGCCTCTGTATGCAGATATAATACGTCTGATGTGGCTTTACGATCCACTGTAACTCTGTGATTGTGGATCTCCTCTCTGTGTTAGTTTTAGTTGAGTGTACACATGCATAGCTGTGCTCATCCTCTAGAGACCGGTGGTTTTAGGCAGGCTGTCAGAGCTTCTCTACGTTATGTAGTTTAAGAGCAGCTTTACCAGCATTACTGCTACATCATGTACACAGACATCAGCCCACACACACACAATGACACACTCACACACTCAGATGCCATCAGGAAATCTGTTCCCACCAGGGTGTGCAACTTGTCTGGTCAAACATCTCACGCTGACCACATGTCAGTATGTGAATAGATGTGTTTTGGTCCTCAGAGGCTACAGTGGATGTGAATTTCAAAAGCTTGCTGATAGTAACTGGTGTGTGTTTATATCTGTGTGAGCGCATGAAGGACGGAGAATATTGAAGTCCAGGGTTGATCACTTGGAGTGAGCTGCCTGACTGTACTCAGCGCAGAGGAGATAGGAAAGGAGTAGTTTGGCTGTTATTACATGTAGTGCGTCGTTTTCCAAATGTCAGCTTGTTCACTGGTATTTTGTTTTTGTACCGAGAGCCAGTTGACTTTGGAATGAAAAGCACTCTCGACAGAATGAATACAAATGACACGGCGTACTTTAAGCGTAATTATTCATTAGACACTTCTACAAAAATATTTGCTCAGACTGAAGGGGGTTAATGCCGCTCTAGTTTTTTTTAAAAAAGAAGATTTTACGGTGCGCCAGTAGCTGCTGTACTATACATAAAGAGACTCCATGGTTTGTTAAGGCATGTCATAGTATAGACCACTGGTGTTGTAAAGATGTTTATGGGTGTTATATCCCACATTATACACCCTTTTCTATATGCATGCCTCTGTGTGAAGAGCCAAAGCACTAAATACTAGTGCTGACCTAAATGCTTGTAAGCTTTGATCGTTGCCATGGTTATCAACCTCCAAATCGGTGTTCAAATGTTCTCACCTCTTATAGACTGTATAAATAATCAGCATCAACCACTATAAGTTATTCTAGAGAGGGACATTTAATCTAAGTGTTTGGGTTTAAACATAGTTCTCTGACTCACTCTCATCTAACATCAGTCACCAGCAGTCCAGCACTACTAAGACTGGGACAGTTTTACCACATGTGACAAGCTTACAGATGTGCCAAGAATTCAATAAAGTCAAATATCTGAAATACTTTCAAAATTCCAAAGTTGACGCCCAGAAAGTCGAATGCCGGATATGCCGAAGGAAACTGGTATGTCACAAATCTACAAGGAGTTTGGCAGATCACCTGAAAACTGTCTTGCAGAGTATTTTTCATCCATCCATCCATCCATTTATTTTCATCCAGCTGTCTGGAGTTCCTTGCTCAGCCAGACATCCTCTCCCACTTAGCTCCTCCTGGGGGACCCCAAGGCGTTCCCAGGCCAGATGAGATATGTAATCCCTCCTGCCTGTCCTGGGTCTGTCCTGAGGCCTCCTACCACTTGGACGTGCCTGGAAAGCCTCTAATGGGAGGCACCCTGGAGGCATCATGATCAGATGCCTGAATCACCTCAACTTGCTCCTTTCGACATGACGGAGCAGCGGCTCCTCTGTGGGCTCCCACCAGACGTCTGAGCTCCTCATGCTATCTCTAAGGCTGAGCCCAGCCACTGTATGGAGGAAACCCATTTCGGCTGCTTGTATCTCGATATTATTCTTTACAGCTATTATGGCAAATGTTACAGCAACCTGCATGCTGACAAAATGGCTAATTGTCACAATGTTTTATTTTAGGTGCACCAACTGAAGTCTGATATTTCAGAAAAGTCTGACTTATGTCCTTGTCTTTCATTCCCTCAACCCTCCCTTGAAGAGATGATTAATCACAGATTCTTGTCACTGAAGCCTCAATGCCCAAAAACTGATATTTGGGACAGCCCTACAATGAATCTGCTTGTACGTCTGGAACCTCCCATATACAACACAGACTTGAGACACGCCCTCAGTGAGGACTTGGCTCAGATTCCGGAGTTACTCTCTTATCCTGAAGCCTCCTTAAGGAATCTGATCCCGTTTGATTCGGCGGTGGGAACCTCTTGCGACCACATGCCTTTGCTGACGTCGACCCCAGCAAGATTCGAACCCTGGACCTTCCTGGAAGACAGGTGCTCTAACCACTACACTCGGGAGGCCTGTACAATACTATTTGAAAATCTGGATAGAGTAAAAGAAAATTAGCTTTTTAATACATTTAAACAGCACGATCATTTTCTTTTGTTTCAGAAAATTTACCCCATTTTCATAATCTTTATTTTGGTTTCCTTGTGATAAGGCAAGGCAGCTTTATTTGTACAACACATTTCATACACCAGGGCTTTACAGAGCAAAAAAATATAAACATAATAAAGGATACAGATTTACAATAAAAGAGCAAATAGAAAAAAAATATATACAAAGTAAAATGAATTACTAAATGATTTACAATTTTTTTTTATAGAAAAAGGTGCAAAGATAAAAGGATTATTTAAAATGATTAAAATTTGAGTTTAAAAATAAGTTTGCAGTCATTACAGGGTGGACCAGGCAGTGTAAAAAAGAAATGTTTTTGGTATCGGCTTATCTAACATCATCTGGGAGCTTCTTCCAGGTTTGTGTTACATGATAACAAAATGTGGCTTCACCATGTTTCGCACTGACTCTTGGGACAGTCACTAGGACAGCACCAGATATCCTTAGGGTCCTAGAAGGTCCATATGTCACAAAGCATGTCAGAGATATATTTGGGCAAATTAGTAGTCAATCAGTTCATTGACTGACACAAAATCAGTCATGATTTGTGTTAACTTTTGATTCAAGAACATATTTTATGAAGGTTTATTATAGTTTTAGTCCACTATCTGGTAAAAATGCCAAGCATCTGCAGCACAGCTTTAAATGTTCCCATCAACTTGCTTTTCTTTGAACCTCCCGTTATAAATGAGGATTTTACAGTTTAACTGCCAATCATGCTGAGTAATTAATTCCTTAGATGAAGATCGAGGCAGCTGAGAAAAACCTGCCCATCATGTTGTCACTGGAAACACAATGTTTCTGGACTAATTAATGTTTTGAATGTTTCCACTTAAATCTCTGCAGAACATGCCAAACGTCAGGGACCATGATGCATCGGTGTACCTGCGCCTCCAGGGTGACGCCCTGTCCGTGGGTGGCTATGAACCCAACCCCATCTTCTGGGATGAGGTAAGCTTGAACATGATCTGAACGGTTAACCATCTCATTTCCTGTCAATAGCTTTGGGACTGTGAAACCTCACGTATTGACTTCCTGTGTGTGTGAGTGAGATTGATGATCTGTCTCGTTTGACACAAAATCAAATACTTAATTTAAGAAGCTGAATAAAGTTTAATCCTGTTTATATACTTTTCATTCTCTCTGTCAGTTTGACCTCAACTCTTATTGAGTCTGTTTTGCTTTTCTGTGTCTTCATTACTTGCTGATGTATTAGCTTGGAGGTCACACTGTATTCATAAGGGGACTCATAAAACTGTGTGAGTATTTGTTCACTAATCTCTCAGTTGTGGAAAGAGGTTTTCAGGTCGTCTACTCAAGTTAAAGTAGCAGTGTTATCGTCTGGATTTATTCGGTTACAGGTAAAAGTCCTGCATTCAAATCTTTGCTTAACCAAAAGTCAAAAAATTAGCTAATTAATTGTAATTAATCCCTTTTTTCCCCTTAAAACTGAATCATAATGAATATTTAAATATAAAATCAACACAAAGAAAATACATTTATATTCGGATACTGTTGTTTAGTAGCATCCTTTTAACCTTGAACACAGATTCTCCCCTGTTTCACTCACAGTTAGTGCAAACTGTCACAGATTCTTCTTTATCAGTCAGCCCAAATAGTTGTCATTAGGCTGCTCCCAGAAGTGAGTGATTCCCAATGGGAGCGACGTCCTTCGCTTGCTTAAGCGTGTTCATCCTCTGTGTCCTGGTGCTTTTAGACAGTGTCTATTCTTGACACGATGGTTACTCTTGAGGGTAGATGTTACGAGGTGACTCCTGATGCAATCTGAATTATTACTCTCAGTCTGTCGTCTTCTAGTGTGCTATCTGGGCGGCAGTTTTTAGCTATCAGTTTAGCCAAATCATTCTCATTTAAAGGTTCAGCCGGGCAACTTTAAAAGAGAAACTTTCCACCTAAACCTCGATAATTGTGCTTATCCATCTTTTAACAGGATGGTTCGGTTTGGCACCACACATTGTCACAAAGGTCTGCCACCACAGGAAGTAAACAAAAACCAGCTGCCTTAATTGCGTTTACTTGTTTTAAATGCGTCATGTATTTCAAATTAATTTGGGTAGCCGCAGATCCTTAAAAGGTCTTAAATACACATTTACTAATAAAAGGCCCTAAAACGTATTAAATTAAATTAAGATTGAATGTGTCTTAAAACTTCACAGATGACATATTTGGTGTTGGTGCTATAGGAAACAGAATTCTTAGAGGAGGGAAACACTATTCGACAGGGTAACATACTTTGCCACAACACCTGTGTGTGCTCAATGCCCCTATTTTTGCCCCCCACACACTTTGATCATGCAATGAGTCTGCATCGTTGAAATAGGACCTTGCAAACTATGGAAAAATGGGAAGATGCAAGTGTAAGGACAAATAGCTCAAACGAATTCCAACAATTACTTGTGGTGATTAAAGCCATGGTCTGGAAATGTGTACAAATCAAATCGTACATGCAGAGCTGTAAGCATAGAAAGTGTCGTTAGGATCATTTTTACTGTTCATTTTGAACTGACATCAATGTGTTTACTTGGAAAAAGTGTATTTTCACTTTTGGTGTGTACTTCCATTGCAAGTTTGGTCTTAAATTTCATTTAAAGAGGTATTAAAAAGGTCTTAAAGTCTTGTTTATACCTGTAGACACCCTGTAAATGCAAAAATGAACACGTTAATGTCGACAGTACTCGTAAAAATAAATAAAAGTATCATCAGCAAAAGTTTGACACTTGGGAAATACACTTATTTTCTTTCTAGCCAATATTTTATTTATTTATTTATTTTACCTTTATTTAGCCAACCTGGTCTAGAGGCCAAAAGCTGCATGAGAACACATACTGCTCACATATCTGTAGCCAGGAGGCAGCTAGCCTAGCGTAGCATAGAGACTGGAAATAGCGACTAGCCTGGCTCTTGCTAAAATTAAAAAATATGCCTACTGGTACCTCTAAAGCTTGCCAATGAACACTTGCATCTAATTGGTTCAAACCAAAATACAAAAACTGAAGTGTAAAGATAACAGGTTATCATTTAACTTGGGGTTGCCTTTTGCATACATAGTCTGGCTAACGTTAGCTGTTTTTCTGTGTTTCCAGGCTTTGCTCTAAGCTAAGCAAACCAGCCTCTGGTTCTAGCTTCATATTGTGAGTTCAAACATTAGAGATTTATTAATGCTCTCATCTCACTTTTGGCAAGAAAGCCAATAAGCGCATTCCCTCAAATTTTGAAGAAGTATGTAGCCGTACTCATGAAGCATTGTCAGTTAGAGGCGGGAAAATGGCTTGTCTAGCTCTGTCCAAAGGTAAAAAATTATATCTATCCTATACTTTAAAGCAAACTTATTTAAACAAATTATCTTGCGTGTCTCTCTCGTACATGCAGGGAATATAACCATGACAATTTCTGGTTTATAAGGGGGGCTGTGTGCTTTACATGAGAGTGGTTTCAATCTTCTGATCCAACTCACGCCAAGAAAACATATAGCATACTTCCCAAAATGTTAAACTTTTGTTACTGTTAAAGTATCAACATTGAGAGAACTCATTATGCAGAAAAAGGACAAGTTTGCAAAGTGTAAGCAACATTGCAGTTTACTGTTTACACTGTACCTGGCAGTGTATTGAGGCAAGGTTGTTAAAACTAATAGAGAGCCATAAAATAAAATTTATGAGTGTTTTCCCACACTAATGACAGGGCCTAATGGATCCAGTGTGTTTTGGAAAATACTGTGAGCGTCAACGTCGCATTTGAAAAGTTTGTTTTTCTATAAAAAGTGTTTTTATAGAAAAACATGCTCCGCAAGGTAAGCTATCAAAAAGAGTATTGTGTTGTCATCCATGGTGAAACTCAAGTGTCTTATTGCTTGCACACTAGATATTTCATTTCTAATGGGCAGATTGATGAGCATAACACACCCTCCTCAGGCCATAAATCTATTGATTTTAATGACCCCATAGCTGTTCTTTTAGCACCACCCACAAACCTTATTTTCCAAGCTCCTCCGCCGGTGAAATGGCTTTTATTGGAGCATAAAAACCAAAGCATCTCTCTAAAATCCAAAAAGCCTGCGAAGAGTGAGGATTATTCAAACAACTTTTGGCAACTGTAAAAGGTAATCGCACAGGCCGTTCTTTCATGCACAGTCTGACTCTTTAAAGGGATGGTTGACTTTGGAGAATGATCTTTACAAAAGCCTTTAACGCCACAGGTGGTCCTGGTCTTAATGGATGTGTACTTTCTCTCAAGGACAGGTTTTTAGAGCAGTTTGTTAACTATGCTGGCAGATTCGTGGCAGGCATCTCTGCTCTTTTTCCTGTCCTGGTGTTTCACACTGATAACTTTTCACTGCTCATGTATTCCTCTTTGATTTATACCTTTTAATCATCGCTCTAACAATGCATTGCAATTCTGGACCCATGCCATTCACAAGCAAAGATTACTGTCTATTTAAACTGTTCATGTTTAACCCCTTCCACTCCACCTCCATATTATAAAACCATTTTTGTCTTTTTTGGGAGGGACAGGGAATCTTTAGGGGAAGATAACAGGTCAACAGTATATGTGGCATATAAGTGCCATACATTATCTTAAAGCTGAGAAATGGAAGATTAATTTGGAGTAAAGCTCATCACTGTGTGTCACATTTTACGATTCACAGAAATGTAATAAACATTGTGTTTTGGTTTTACTTTACTACTTACTTTATCAAAAGTTTAGAGTGTATAAGGGCTTAGGGCCTGTCCCAATACCCACACTTTCCCTAGAAATCCCCACTTGCACTTGGTTGTGTGTGTTCACGTTTAGGCTAGTGGTGTCCCAAAACAGAATTGAGGTAGTGGAAGTGGTTTCCAACACTTAAAACCCACCCTAGATTCCTAGGGAGCCCTGACCCACACTTACAATGAAGTGGGAGATGAAATTTCCCAAAACACCTTGCAAAGTCAGCAACTTTGGCAAGTTTTGGAAAAGATGGCTGCCAGCACAGGTCGTTGGACTAGCGTAAACGTATCAGCAACCCAGCTGAACACAGCGTCAAAATATTTAAACAAATCGACCCACCCGAACAAAATCAATCAGAACCAGGAGACGTCGTAGGTGCCTCCTGTTTTCAGCATTTCTTCTCCGTTGATTCATCAGACAGAGAAGAATAAACATAGCACACGCCACAGGTAACACAAGCGCTGGAGCGAGCATTTTCAAACCTGAACGACAACTGGTATCTTGCGTTGCTACTACGTGTGACGTATACCTTCACATCGGCCACGCCAATTTGCATGAAGTGGTGTCTCATTTCTTAGGGAACGATCTCTACCCTAATATTTCTCACTTCCCTCATCAAGGGTTATCTCGCAAACGAGGGCACTCAATTTTTTTAAGGAGATTTAAGGGGTAGAAATGGGATTGGGCCTTAGAAGAGGGGTGTCAAACATACTTCCTGTGGGCCAGTACCAGCCCGCCAAAAGGTCCAGTCCAGCCCAGTGGATACCGACTAAGAGGTGCCAGGTTTCAGGAGCAACTCTACTTCATGTACAATCCTACTTCAGAGGCTTCTCCACCCTGACCAGAATACAGCTCTCTGCTATAACAATGAATACTCACTGTGACCATGTGTAAAGATACTGAACATTGTGCAAAATATTGTCAGTTAGCAGCTTCAGTTTAAAAGCATCTGTATCAGGAAATGTCTGGATAAATGCACATGTAATGCCAGTGAGAAGTCGACTGACTGAATGTGGAATAACTGAGACATACTGTTGAAATTGCACTTATTTTTCACTTTTTTTTGTAAAAGGATGAATGTTTAGAGAATGTTCTTGTAATTCTTTACACAAAAAAGGGAAAATATTAGAGCTGATGATACTTATAGGTTATTGTGCGATGGTTTTATTGGTTCGGCCCATCTGAGATCAAACTGGGCTGTATGTGGCCGATGAACTAAAATGAGTCTGACACCCCTGGTTTATAACATTAAGATGGAAGTGTATGGCCGTTCATATGCTCATTCATGTCTCATAAGTTGTTGCAAATGGTCACAAATCTCTCCAGAATACCACATTAAGACCTCAAGGAACCCCATAAAAAAGTACATGCTGTGATTTGGTGTCAAAACATTTGACATATGGAGGTTTCTTTAAGAATTGCATTTTTGGCAATTTGATGGCGAGCACTTCTGTTCTGGAAACTGCTGAGAAGCCCCCATATTGTCAGTGTACCTATGGAAGTCATCCAACCTCTGAATGCTTGAGGTCTCTAGTGTGTGTTTGCAAAGTTTCATGAGGCTGTGAGGCTGTGAGGCTACAATAGGTCATTTTTTACAGTAAGGTCGGTTTAAAAAAAAAAAACATCTCACTACAATGAAATGGCTACTACAGGGACTAGCATCATCACACATTAATAAATTTGGGGTTATTGAAGCTACTAGATTCTTTTTTTTTTTTTTTAAATATATACCTAATTTATGCAATTCCAAGACTGTTTAGGGACCCCAGTATGCTGAAATATTAAAATACCATAGGCGCTAATAACACTTATACTGCATGCATAAAACAATCGCCAAAATTTAGCCCAACATTGGAGCATTATTTAACCTCCTTCCCACATCATCTAGCAAGATATGGTTTGGTACAATGGATTCCTCAGCTCTCCTAGTTTCACGTGTATCTGTAGCGTAGCTTTAAAAAAGCCCTTTACACCCTCTGAGAGACGGTAATGTCAGCTAAGGACACTGGTGTACCAGCAAAGTGGAAGAGGTTGAAAATGAGCCGTGTCAATGTCTTCGATAAAATGCGTTTATAAAAGATATCTCTCTGGCTTTAATAAAGGCTATGAAGCTCAAAAAATGTAAAGAAATATATAATAGAAGATTATTTAGTCTCAGTTTAAATGAAAGGCAGCAGACAGGGTATTTGCAGGACACTGATAATACTAACTTCATGACTCTGTCTCTCCGTCTGGCTGGCTGCCTGTCTGTCTACAGACTCCTCAGTGGTTTTTACATTTTAGAGGATTTCTTTGTTCGGAACCAGCTCCTTTTGTTCTCGTTCTGCAGCTGAGTGTTGCTTTGATGTCTTGAGGCGAATGGAGGAAGAAAGAGGAGATGGAGAAAGGAGAATTAGCAGGGAGACGGAGAGAATAGAGGATGCCTACTGAGTGAAGATGAGCAGGATCGATGGCTTGGGAGGGATTGAGAGAAGTGTGGCGTCTAGGACAAAGAACACTGCTCCTCAGATACTCGGGTTGACTGTCAGTGCTCAGTTATAGTGCAGAAACTCTTTGTTCACATGAAAGCAGCTACTGTCAGCTCACGCATCCCTGTGACATTCAAGTCTTTATCAAAAGTGAAAGTGTCACCGCTGACACTAATTGTAAAGCCATAGGAACTCCTTTCTCTCTCAGCACTTCTGTCTTACTGCAAACTTAAAGAATCGCTTATATTCAACATTTTAGGCTCTAAGTTTATGCTGTTATCCAGTATGATATGTCTGCAATAACAAAGACGAGCAGTCACCCCAGAAACTAAAAGAATGACTGCTTACTGAATTGCATTTCATGGAGAAGATGGAGAAGTTTGAGTAGAAGGATTACCAGATCCAGAGAAATGCACGACTGAACACAAGCTGGTGCACTGGACTTTTCAATTTGAGCACCCTGAGTCAGTCAGATTAGTGTAGGAGGGGAGAATTTTAAGGCGATGCAGTCAGCACTGCTCAGCATGAGTTGTAGGAGCTAAAGGCTCCATTTTGGCCCGGCCGACAAGGAGGGAGTTGTGGAGGTCCAGATGGGAGCAAATTAAAGCTTGGACAGGGAACTGAGAGGGATTGGACAGATGTTGATTCCCTGGTGAGAAAGAGTCAATTCAACAGATGCTACAGGATTGTGTTGTGGCTGCTGTGTGCGTCTGAGTTGGCGGTCCACAGTCACATGTGGTGGGTTGGACTGAAGTCACAGCATTTTTGTCAGCAGTGAGGAAGAAAGGAAAAATAACACATTGGTCTTGACAACATTGGCTTTGAAGCAGTGCATCTTTATCGAATATCCAACAGTCCACTGTAATGCACATTCATTTGGTGGAGAAATATGATTAAAATGCCAGAGCGGAGTCTTTTTTTTTTTTAATTTTTAAAGTATGTCTGTATCAAATGACAGTGTGAAAGTCATGAACCTAAGGAGAATTCTCCCTCTGTTGTTAGTAGAGACTAAAAGAGAGCTTAAAGAGAGCGAATATTGGACTTATATTGACTCCAAATGACTTAGTGTTGCACTCTAACAAGGTCAGCAACCTTTACTACCAGAGGAGCCCTATTTGGTCCAAAAAAATAATTAAATCTGTCTGAAGCTACAAACTATATTTTAGCCTTATAATACAGGTAACACATCATTACTAAGTCTAAATTAGCTTATCAACATTACTAATAGGTCTAATCATAAATATGTTTTACCATAATGTGGCAGCCCCTTGGCAAAATACCCCCAAACAGTCTGACATCACAGGTTGTTAAATTAAGCCTGAAATTCACCTGTGTGTTATTTATTTGTTTATTTTTTATAAAATATACAATTTTCTTTGCAAGCACCCTGTAATCAACTTGGTGGAATTTTAGTGCACAATCAGCTGCCAATTTGCATTTTACCACAAATTTTCTCTTCATTTTTTTCCAAATGGAAGATGGGCCCCACCAATTTACAAAAGTCAACATGTTGTTGCAGCAGAATACCTAATATAGTTGGAGCATAAAAAATCCAAAAGTTAAACTATCCAGGATTGTTAGTTACTGATTGCAAACCCAGTCGCCAGCAAAACTAAAAGCCAACCCCAGATTCACTGTTCAGTGTTTTGCGTCACAATATTTGCTTGGTGCTGTGTCTCTTGGATGTCTGCTGTGTATGGTCTGGCACCTGGTGGCTACCTTTTTATAAATCACTTACCTCACCTGAGCACTGTGGAGGTACACACCCAGGTGTGTCCAGAGCACAGACAATAAGAAAATACAGCAGAGGGCAGAGTCTCTGCAGAAATATACACCGCCATACTCTTCTAGTGGGTCATAAATGATCACTGAGTGGGATTACTTCTGTATGAGTCTATATATTGTTGTTTTTAGAAAAATCCTGCATCATACATCTTTAAAAATTAACCAACATGGGCAGCTGCTTTTGAAAATGACCCACTTGTGTTTTCCCAGTATAAGGAAACCTCACATGCATTTCTGTTGTGTGCTTTATTCCCAGGTGTCTGATAAGTTTGCCTTCAGCCTGTTTGACCTGGACTGGGATGTATTCATGCAACACATTGAGGGCGCGATCAACAGAGTTCCCGTTCTGGAGCAGACTGGTATCAAATCCACCGTCTGTGGACCAGGTACTCATACGCACATAAGCCCTTCAGGAGCATCAATTTTTACGAAAGTCCTGCGAGCTCTCCTCGCAGATTTCTCATAACATTATGCATTACAGCAGGGAACAAGCGACTTTCATGACACTTTTTAAATTGGACACATTCTAATTTAAAAGTGAAATGTATCTGTCTGTGAAATATGTTATGCACCGCTCCAGCACTGCATTGGCTCATGAATACCTAAACTAGCTGACTATGTGTCATGTTTGTAGAGGAGATAGTTTGATTAGCTCAAGCCCGACTTCCCGTCCAGGCAATATCAAGTTGTTGAAGTGGTTGAGCGAGCAGGTCTGTGGCTGTGCAGCCCTAAGAGTTACAGTATCGAATTGGATTTTTCATCACCATAGTGCGATGCAGCTGTTTGGAGAAAAAAGGAGTGGAACGAGTGACACGCACACGTAGGGATGGGAGATAGAAAACAGAGAAACTGAAAAGGAAATCTGAGAAAAACTGAAAGAAATGTCAAAACATGAACAGAGAAAAGTAGAATTGGAGAAATTAAAAGTAGAGATGTCAAGGTGGAAAGGTAAAATGTAGAGAATGGCAGAGATTAACAAAATGTAAGAAACAGAAACAAACTATGATGGCAAGAAAAACTGAGGTCAGAAGTCAAGGAAGATGCAGCTCAGGGAGAGAGGAAGCTCAGATGAAAGGGGGATGAAAACGAGGATTTCATCAGAGTTGTTTGTAGAGCATCTTCGCCGTGACCCCCTCGGTTTAAGGCTGGCTTTTGTTTCATTTCAAGTGTTGTGTTTACATGATAAGAACGCCACGCTGAGAGGTGAATTTTCATAGTGAGTTTACTGAGTGTTCAACCGTTTCTCTGGGGAGAGAGCAGGAGCAGTAGAGCAGAGATCTCAGCCATGACCCAAGTATTATGAGTTCTGTGACTACCTGCTTTACGTCCTCATGCCATGTTGAACAAAAAGGTGTTTTGGGTAATATGCTTCTTCCAAGGATACAGGTTGGGATTACAGTTGAGTAGTTCAGGTTAATTGAAAGGTTAAACATTTTTTCTTCTGGCATATTCTTAAAATAATTGAATGTGCTGATGAACATCTTCATGTGCATCATAATACATGTCAGTGTGTGTGTGTATCTATTGTAGGGAGAGTTAATTCATGTACTTTAAGCCCCAGTGAGTGGAATACTTGACCTTTTGATTGTATTTGGTCAACTATAAAGCTTACATATTCATAAACTTAAGGTGCTTTCTCTCCCTCTTTTATTTTGAATTTAAAAACCTTTTTGCTACACAGAGTTTCAAAAGTGTTACAGGTGGCGTAAATCTGATTCAGTTCAATACTCCCTGAATGATCACATGCACAAAAGAGAAGTTCAAATGTGTCCCCCAAATAGCTCACACAGAATTGTATACTATCCCAGGTAAAGTGATGTATTTCCTCATAAGAAGTGTGTTCCCTCCTGGCTTTATATAGAAGAGTAGGTTATTGTTTCAGTATTACTTGGACAATGTAATCACCTACTCTGTATATTAAATTTAATTGAAAAAGTCATTATGCCATTTAAAAAATAATTGTTTCATTATTCGCTACATGCCTTTAAACAGGTCACAGGCCACACTGACGTGTTAAAACTTCTGTATTGGAAATAGTAAATGACCAGTGACTAACAACAGCAAGCCAGCCGAGAACACCCAATGTGAAGGACTGCTTTCACATAACAAGCAATTTTTTTTTTTTTTGCTCTCACTAACAAAGATTAGATTTTTTTCAGAGTGGTGTGTGGACACTGAAATCCATTTTTTCCAGTCAGATCGGGTACGCTTTTATATGTGGTCCTAAATCCAATACATATCCAGTCACTGTCCATGCGACCAAAATGACAATGGCCCTATTGGAATTCATGTATGTTTTTCACTTATCCATGTTTTTTCCACATCATACTTCACTGAGCAGGTGCAGATTACCTACTATACAATGTCAGAGCGGTCTGTTGAAACTACACAAGGCTGCTGTACCCACACCGCCGCTGTGGTAGAGCCTGACTGCTAGATGCTTTCTGATGCTTGCTTTCATTTTGAGTCCTGCCGTGACAGCCTTGTTGTGAAGCGCTGACAGATGTATTGGAATGTATTTCTGGACTACCTAAGGTTTTAGAGGAACTGTTCCTCCACATTGTGGCCCCAACACTCCTGACTCCTTTCCCGGCTTCACCCACACCTCTCTCAACACAAAACTACCAGCAATAGCTGCTAATAAAGCTAGTGGACCAAAAGACTATTTGTACGACAGCTGTTATCCCAAAACAAATGCGCATTTCTCCAAAGGGCTATTTCTCTGAAAATACACTTCACACTCTCCCAAACAGAAGCACATGGGTGAGCATTGTGCAGAATGACATCATTGGACCTTCCTACTATAGAGAAGATATACTTTATGAACCCCTGAGGGGAAATTAATTTTCTTAACTCTGTTGTCATACACACACAGGCCCAAAATACACACACATGCACAAACAGGACCTATACATGCATTAAATGGAGAGAAGTCAGAGTGAGGGGGCTGCCCATGGACAGGTGCCCCGAGCAGTTGGGGGTTCGGCGCCTTGTTCAAAGGCACCTTAGCGGTGTCCAGGAGGCGAACTGGCACCTCTCCAGCTACCAGTCCATGCTCCACATTTGGTCTGGACGTGGACTTAAGCCAGCGAACCTCCGGTTCCTAACCCAAGTCCCTATGGACTGTGCTTCTGCCGCCCCAAATGGGGAAGGATTGACCTGCCCTACTCTGCCTTTGATTGGTTTACCACGATATTCTTATCCTCACCTTAACCAATAGCAGCAATCATAAGGTCCAATGATGTCATTCTGCATACTAATCACCCATGTGCTTCCATCTGGGAGAGTGCCATTGGAGAAACGGCCCTTTGGATCAATAGGCAGTCTCCTCCTCAACATATGACGAATTGTCATCTGACTTCCACAGCAAATCATTCAGGAGATGAAGCTTGCATTGCTAAGTCATTCATTTTTCCCTAAGTGCATGTCTTTCGCAAATGTGACGCTATGTGTGTGACGTTATTGGTTACATGTGAGGCATTTCGGGGTAGAGATCAGTTTCCACTCATAATATCAAACATGAATGTGAGCAGTCTAGGCAGAGACATTGGATCTGGGGGAGATAAATGAAGCAGTAAGCCTGCGATGGTAACGTAGCCAAAGTAACAAACAACTTTAGATTTAAAGAGAGGTGCATTTCTCTTCTTTTGCTAGCGGCTAACAGTCTAGCCTAGCTCCTGCACCTAGCTCAAATGTCCCAGACCAGTTGGTCCACGCAGTACTCGGAAACAAAATTGGACGTCAACCCTTAATTGAACTCCTAGTTTATTTATTTTATTAATTATGTAATTTAACTAGGAAATCTGAAGTACATTATGTATCTTATGAGCGAGCTAGCCAAAAGGGCAGCATAAAGTAGCTTTCAACAAATAGCTAACAACCACTTTTTGGCACATAAAGACTCTAGAGACAGGGACTTCTTTAATTTCACTTGTCTTTTTCACAAAATAAAACTGTTATTGGGGAAAATATTTCACCCCTTTAATATGTTTGTCTATCTACATTTGTGGCCACTTGCACCTACAAATTTTCTCTCGCTGTCTGTTTGCAGAATCATTTACAGCTGACCACAAGCCGCTGATGGGAGAAGCCCCAGAGGTCAGAGGTTTCTTCCTGGGCTGTGGCTTCAACAGTGCTGGTAAGTGCTGCAATGAGGGAAAGATCGAAGAAAAAAATGGGGGAGAGACTGTTAAAGAAAGAAAAGGAAGGAAGGAAGACAAATGAGGAGTGCACAAGGATGTCAGAGAGCGTAAAGACATCTCCGATCAGAGCGTCAGCGCCGTAAACGAACAATATATGTCACTCACAGTCGTATGCTTTCAAATACTTCATGGTGTAGAGTGTTCCCTCAAGGGAGCCATGAAATGATAGAGGCAGAAAGGTCAAAGCAATCCTCAGTACGTGGCAAAATAAGAAGGAAGGAAACAAGCAAAGAGAAATGGCTGCAGAGTGTTTTTCCCATGCTTTGACCCAGCCTTCGCCAATCTCTGTGGACACTCTCAAAGCACAAATGAATAATGGAGAGCTTTTCATTTCGCACTGAGTCCATGAAGAACACACACACACACGCACACAAACAAAAACCCGAGTCACTCCATTACTTCACTCATAGATGAGCTTACCTTTGACAGTAGACGGAGAGTAATGTAAGTATCCCAGCAATCTGAAAAACAGAAAAAGAGGGGGCGTAAAGGGTAAAGTAATCGCCATCAGCGCTAACAGACGGTTGAGTGAAAGCGTTTTTCTGCATAAGAGCATAAGACCACAGGGTCGAGCTCTGAAGTTGTTATGACAGGAGCTTGGGAAGTGCAGAGAGGTGGAGCTCTAATGAGCTAGCATACTGAGGTTTCAACACTCATAACACACACAGACCTTCCTTCTCTGTTATTTTTTGCTTCAGAAGTGTAGTTTTTGTACGTTGGAGGCAAACTTCTGATTGATCCTCGCTGTTTTTGAGCTCTCTTAGACCCCAATCACTTATCCATGAGACACTGTGTGTCCGTCAGCCTGATCGTAGGTCAGTTAGTATCCTGTTATCCGTTATTGGGTTAACAAAGGTGCACACAGTCCTTTTCCTGAGCTGTTGTTCCTTTTTTTTCTCATACAAATTGCCTCATTATTCATTGGGTATTTATTGCTTATGGTTTTATGTTGTGCTGAAAGTATTGTGTGATTAAGCGCTTAGTCTATTGATAGAAAATTATTTGGCGACAATTTTTAAGATTGATATGTCATTTAAGTCATTTTTTAAAGCTTGTCTTAATTGTGAAGGATGGCGTGCTCTCCGTTATGTATCATTGTATATTGAATATCTTTTAGTTTGTGACTGTTGGTCAGATAAAACAAGTGATTGAAGACATCACCCTGTGCTTTGGGAAAATGTAATAGAAAATTTTCAGTATATTCAGTGAGGGCAAGGACACTTACCAAAGTCTCTTACCACCTGGTAAATGTGAGGTTGGGCGCTCGGTTCTTCTTTGCGTACTCTGTGCCAACTTTCAAGGGCACGGTTGCTTGCATCCGAAGTTGCTAGGCAACCACCCAGCATTGTAACGTAGCCTGCAAAGCTGATTTTCTTCCAGACGGTGTTTTTTAAGCGTGTATGAGGCCTAAAATATTGTCCATAGGAACAGTGTAAAGCTCTGGATAGCCCTGCACTATAATGATTGACAACTTCTCCATATTTATCATGGAGTGATATTTGTGGAAGACAGGAAAGATATCTGTTGGCTTTGATTGGTTGTTCCTCATACGGCTGCAGGATATGGGGACCAGTGTTGGGCAAGTTACTCTCAAAATGTAATATACTACATATTACTAGTTGCCTTCGTTTGAAAGGAATAAGTTACATTACAATATAACTTTCTGTGTAGAGTATGAAGTTAGTTATTACATTAGTTTTGTGTTACTTTCACCAAAATGACCTCAGAAGAACTGATAGGCATTTTAAATGGACGAGGGTCATGTTGTTTCACAGCAGGTAATCTAAGCACAAAAGCTCCAGTTTATTATAGTTCATTTCAAATCCAGTGCAGCAGGTCTGACTCATTCATGCATTCACACACAGTGGTGCTTATATTAATAATACCGTGATGATATAGAACAATTAAATAGCCTAGACCATTTAGAATAAATGACTAGCCTTGGAGACAGGGAGGGTCAGGCAGAGGTTCACAGTCTTATAGTTATGAGACATAGATAAATATTTGTGGGCCCGTGATATGAAACACAATAAACAAATGTTGAGGCACAACAAACGGAATGGTGCGCAATCAAGTCACCATGACGATGTGTCACCGGGATGAGGAAAAAACAAACCGGAGGCCAGCTCAGATATTAAAGTGTAATCAGTGCTGCTAAGATACAACAAAGTGCTTGTTGAATTTAAAAAATGAAAGGAAATTATGTCCGACATTTTTTTATTGAACAAATTGAACTGAACGCAAGAGGAACCAATACGAAAGAATGAAAGTTAGATGTTAAATTGCAGTTTTCTACTGATATCCTCTTTCAACTAATTCAAAAAATTCCCTGAATGTGATTTTGCAGTCCTTTGCGATATGTTCATTGTGCAAGTTGATATTGCGATGAAGATTAAAAAAAAAGTGATTTATTGTGCAGCCCTGGTTCCTTGTCACATGACATGGGGTGCCTGTTGTTGTATTCCAAAAGTTGAACTTTATTTATCTCATGGCGTAGACATTGTGTGATAGCATCTCTCTCATTTTTGACCATGCCTGCCACGCATCTACACTGAAAACAATGGGTTTGAGTGCACAGAAAATGTGGTATGTGTACGGGCGCTAAAAGATTCATTAAAAACGAAAAAGAAGGAAAAATGTTCTTCTTAAAAATAATGCTTCAGCCCTTTTTCAACCTGCATCGACTTTATGTTTTTCTGCTACAGCACACAAATAAGAAAATAGCATTCCTTTTTGAATGGAGGTGGAAAAATGATTGCAGTCCCTTTGTCCTCTAGTTTTGATGTGTCATGCTGGGACAGAGCTCATTGAAATGGGCCCAGCATCACAGATACATCAGGTAACAGTGACTTCATAATTAAAGATTTTCCAGCGGCCATGCACAGCAAGGATATTCCAAATGCCTTTCACTTCACTGCCTTGCACTCAGCATGCAAACACACAAACAAAACATCCTAGTTTTTATCAAAGTAGGAGCTCGATTGTGTCCACCTCTCCCCGCGCCGTCCTTTTTTCCCCCCTTCTCTCTTTGTGTCTGTCACTCATTCTTCCCCCTGCCTCCTCACCCCTCTGGCAAGGGAAAAGTCCTCTGTCCATTTCACTCCATCACATAGAAAAGTATACACACACACATGAACTCACACGGCTTATTTGGCTCAAGGCGGGCCATGACAAGTGGGGTAATTCAGAAACCACAGGGTCAAAGTCGACAGATTCACATTAAAAAATCCATCACTGAGTGCTCGCTAACTTTCTGAGCCTCCAGTTGTTTCTTTTTACTTGCTGGCTTTTATTTTGGCTTCCAAGCAATCAGTAAAACTCTTAGAAGTTGCATTTGTTGCCTAGCAACCTTTAAGTTACTTATTCTCAGTATTAAAACCATCGTGCTGAACTTTGAGTGCATTTATTTACTTGTTATTAAGGTTGCTGCACCTTTTATATGTATCATCGTGTTGCTCATAATCACAATACTGAACACCTTTACATGAGCAGAGGGTTTTTTTTATCACATTATAAGGCACAGAAAAGTGGCTGCATTTAAAGGCAGTTCACAGTGAAAACTGAGAAAACCACTGAGTGTCGTGACATGTTGCTTTTTATCAGGATGGAGTCAGTGACGCAAATAGCAACAGGACCTGATCCCCTACAGTTGTGCTTTAGAGGAGGATAGAGATGGTGATGATAGCCCTGAAGAGGAGTCAGTTTGGATCCCCATAGATGAAGAAGAAAAAGACCTGAGGCAAAATACCTTCTTATTAAATGCTGCTTGGTTTTATAGCTTGAGATGATTGCTGTTTTTAAATTTCTGTTAATTTATGAGTAAAACAAATTAGACGTAATGATTTATCAGTCTGTATAATTTAATGATGAACAATCTAATATAATCGATGCAAAGTGAAAACATCGCTACGTATCGTCATCTTTAAGATATGTTTAATTCCCATGGCATGTCTTTGTCACCATATTTGTCCAAGTGCACCTCCTTCCTAAATATTTAAACAGTGCTAGCAGCCTAGTGCCAGGAAGTCAATGGCAAGCAGCCAAAAAAAAGACAGTGAGGATATTTACAGATATCATCTCATATCGATAGCAGGCCCCTGAGTTGCACGGACATTTCCAGTCACTTCTCTGTCACCTCCAGTAAATTTGTGTTAAATTTAGGCTCTTATGTGTATTTTGCAAGTCTTGGTGATGTCCTTTGTGGTTGGCGTTGGACAGTGGATGCATGTGGCTATGAGTCACTCATCAGGATGACTAAGTCAACTCATCAGTCTGTAAACTCTACTCTAGATAACCTCTACTAGCTGGTAGGGTCGTGCTTTTCAAATGTCAATATTGAGGAAAGGGTGGAAAAGACAGGCACCAGCAAAACTCCATCCAGTTAGCCAGTGTGCAGGCTTTGAATAATACACTTGCCTGGATCAGTTTCCAGTGGGATATCAGGAACTGTAATATTCTTTGCTTCGGCAAAGCTTGGCGAAGTCCTGAAATATGGGATAGCATCATTCAACTAGGAGGCTTTTTTTGCCGTCAGAACTGCCTTAATTCTTGGTGTCATATATTCAACAAGGTGCTGGAAACATTCCTCAGAGATTTTGGTCCATATTGACATGATAGCATCATGCAGTTGCTGTAGATTTGTCCGAATCCTAATCTTCCATTCCACCACGTCCCAGAGGTGCTCTATTGGATTGAGATCTGGTGACTGTGGAGGCCGTTGCAGTACAGTGAACTCATTGTCATGTTCAAGAAACTAGTTTGAGATGATTTGAGCTTTGTGACATGGTGCGTTATCCTGCTGGAACACGGTCAGCAACAATACTCAGGTAGGCTGTGGTGTTTAAACCATGCTCAGTTGGTACTAAGGGGCCCAAAGTGTGCCAAGAAAATATCCCCCACACCATTACACCACCACCATCAGCCTGAACCATTGATA